TAAGCTCTTTGATTCATTGAACATTGACAGGCCCTATTGTTTTCCAAAATTGATGGCTGAAGCCAACAACTTCGCTCGGCTAGATGAGGCTTGGAAGGCCCAGCAAGCACAACACAAAGACGGTGAACCCAAAAGCATGATAAAAAAACCCCGAGGGTCCTCCCTTTCTCGGGTCAGCAGACCAAGCAGAAACCAACTTAGTTATTTAATACGCTTGCCCTATTCACGCACTGGTGCCCCCGTGATAAGAGAAGTCGAGTTTACACCCCTCTCTAAAAGCCGAGTGAATATCCTGCAGTGGATGAAAGACAAACAGGAAGAGATCCACTTTAATTACCCGAGGAAGCTGAGAGAATAGTCGAATGAGCAGAGGGACAAAAATAAATACTGTGCGTACCACAAGGATATCGGTCATGACACCAAACAATGTTGGCAGCTAAAAAACGAAATAGAGCGCCTAGTTCAATAAGGAGTTCTAAAGAAGTTCATCAGTATAATTAACATGATTTTTATGGTGCCATAGGGGGTGATAGCACGACAATAAGGAAAAGCCATACAAGGGAAATATACTTTATACGAACAGAAGCACGGAAAGAACACCTATGCAAACCCATCACTGTCTCGAAAGAAGACGCAAAGCACGTACACTTCCCGCATGCAGATGCACTGGTGGTAGAAGGAGTAATAGAGCATTACAAAGTCAGGAGAATCCTAGTAGACGATGGCAGCTCAGTAAACTCAATAACCCTATATGTATTCAAAGCCCTAAAGATAGATGTCACCAAGCTGAAACCAGTACGAATACCCCTTATGGCCTAGCAGGATGGCAAGTGTCAGTAGAAAGGAGTATGGAAATTGCCAAAGAGCTTAAAGATGACGAGCATACTAGAATTGAAAAGACTGAGTTTGTAGTAGTGGACATCCCATTTCCCTATAATGCCATCTCGATCGCCCGTTACTCTACATCCTCGACACCTGCACATCAATTAGGTATCTTATTATGAAATTTTATTCTAACTCGGGAGATGTTGCGATAGTCAGGGGTAATCAGAAAGTGGCCAGAGAGGCATACATGGTGGCCCTCGAAGGAGTACAGCTCACCCTTCCTTTCCAGTTGGTCCTAGACATCAATAATGAAAAGCCGAGCATAATTCTAGAGGAGCCACAATTGGCTAAAACTTTCAACAAATTGAGGGATCGGACCGAGCTGAACCCATAACTAGAATGCGAGTTATCATACATCTTATCAAGGAGAGCAAAACTCTGAAAGTGGGAGTCGACCTCCCAAAGGTAGCACTCACCTCCATAGGAGAAGTGCTATTGAGGAACAAGTTGAACTTTGTGTGGCTAGCATCAAACATTAAAGGAATTGACCCAAACACAGTAAACCATGAGCTCAACATCGACCTAAGCACCAAACCGATTAAACAAAAAAGAAGAAACCATGCACATCAAGCAGAAGGCAATTGCAACAGAAATTGACAAACTTATTAATGCAAGTTTCATCAAAGAAGTTCACTACCCCAGGTGGTTGGCAAATGTAGTCCTCATCCCAAAATCAAATGGCAAATGGCGTCTTTGTGTTGACTTTATAGACTTCAACAAAGCATGCCCAAAAGATCCTTATCCACTTCCGAACATCGACCAGCTGGTAGACTCAACAGCCAGGTGATACAGCTTCATGGACGCATCAGGAGGTTATCACTAGATTAAGATGAACAAGCTCGAAAAGGAAAAGACTGCTTTCATACCGATCACGGGATATATTGTTATGAGGTAATGCCATTCGGCCTTAAAAATGCTAGTGCCACAGACTAGCAACTAGTTAACACGATGTTCAAAGACCAAATAGGGAAAATAATGGAAGTATACATGGACAACATGATAATGAAAAGCAAACATGCAGAGGAAATCACCAAAGAACTAGAAGCGGCATTCCATGTATTATCTAAGCATAATATGAAACTTAACCCAGATAAATGTGTTTTTGGTGTTACTGTAGGAAATTTCTTGGGGTTTATAATTTCCCAAAGGGAAATCAAAGCTAAGCCAGAGAAGATAGCAGCAATTAAAGCCATGACATCCCCAAGAAGCATAAACAAGGTACAGTAGTTGAACGGGCGAATAACAGCACTTGGAAGATTCATATCCTGCTTGGCCAAGAGGTGCATGCCTTTCTACCAAACGCTGAAAGACATGAAACACTTTTCGTGGTCTGAAGAATGCCAGGCAGCTTTGGATGAGCTAAAAGAATTCCTTACCTCTCTTCCACTCCTCAGCTGACCATAAGAAGGCGAAACATTATACTTGTATTTTTTTGTTACAGATACCACTATAGCCTCAGTTCTAGTAGAGAAGAAGCATGAGAACAATTTCCTATATACTATGTCAGTAGCGTATTGCGTGGAGCTGAGCTCAAACAATTGAGAATAGAGAAGCTGACATTCGCCTTGCTCACAACATCAGCACTGCTAAGGCATTACTTACAGGCTCACTCCAAAGTGGTCAGAACCAACTTCCCCTTAAAAATGTATTGCACCGAGCAGAGACCTCAAGCAGGATGGTCGAGTGGTCTATTAGACTAGGGGAGTTTGACATTTAATATGCGCCTCGCCTAGCCCTGAAAGCACAAACCTTAGCCGATTTTGTGGCAGAAATGACCATACCGGAGATTCAAAACACAGTAAACACCGGTCACATCAATGGAAAATGCACATAGATGGAGCCTATGCTTTAGCCGGCGCAAGAGCAGGAATTTTCCTAGAAGGACCGAATAGGATATGACTCAAATATGCAATATAGTTGGCTTTCCCTTGCATAAATATTATGCCTGAATACGAAGCCCTGATACCGGTAGAAAAACAGCCATGGAGGTCTAAGCAGAGGAAATCACCATATTCTTTGATTCACAGTTAGTCGTGAACCAAGTCTTAGCATTGTTGAGCCAGCTAGAGAAAGAAGAGACTACTTAGGAAATCAAGCAAGTCCTCGATTAAAAAACCACGCAGCAGATGTAGTGGCCACAGACGAGCCTGAGCACCGATGGCAAGGAGATGCTTCCTATAAGGGCAGAATCAAAATGGAAGAAACCTACAATAAAACATCTAGAAACAGGCGAGCTACCTTACGAGAGAAATAAAGCAATACAGATCACTAGGCAAGTAACAAACTACTCCCTAGAAAGAGGAATACTATATAGAAGATCTAAATCTCATCCCTTGGCAAGATGTTTGAACGAAGAAGAAGCAAACTACGTCACTCGGGAAATTCACGAAGGGCTTTGCAATGAACGTGAAGGAGTAGACGACACCCTAAGAAAGATTCTTGCTCGGATATTACTGTCCCACCATGAAAAAGGATGTGCGGGGTTATATACAGAAGTGCATCCCATACCAAAAACATAGTAAAGTACCAAGAAAACCAGCCACCAACATGCAACCTATTGGAATCTCCTGGCCTTTTGCCTAATGGGGCATGGATATCTTAGGACCTTTCCCAATAGCCACAGGATAGAGGACATTTATACCGGTGGCAGTCGATCATTTCTCGAAGTGGGTAGAAGCAGAAGCCCTAGCAAGAATAACCCGAACACGCATCATAAAATTTTTCAAGAATGAAGTATTATTCGATACAGAATCTCGAGTAGATTGGTCACAGACAATGGCAAACAATTCGATTGCTCGGCTTTCAAAGGTTTCTACTCTGATTGGAATATCAGTCTACACTTCACTTCAGTCGCTCATCTACAGACTAATGACCTAACAGAGGTCATAAACAAAACTATCTTGCAAGGTATCAAGAAGAGGCTAAAAGACACAGGTACCAACTGGACCGAGGAATTGAACAATGTACTCTGGTTTTATAGAACTACCCATTAGGAGCTCCACAGGCAAGACACAATTCTCCCTAGTATATGGAGTAGAGGCGGTCATACCAGTCGAAATTGGCATGTCAAGCAGAAGAATACAATCTTACAATGATGACCATAATTATGAAACCCTAAGAATCAAATTAGACTTAGCCGAAGAAAGAAGAAATGAAGCATCCATTAAAGCAGCCGCCTGACAACAGTAAATGGAAAAATATCACAATGGAAGAGTCAGGAAAAGAACCTTTGAAGTAGGGACCGAGTATGGAAGAAAAAGGAGATAAAAGTAGGATCGGCAGGGGTTGGCAAACTAAACCCAAATGGGAGGGGCCCTATTATGGGTGAGTTAATGGTGGACAAGTTTTATTAATATGGATGTTGCTCGACGGATGGGCGTTATATATTATTATGAACTGTGGATATTTTATCAAGGGAAAAGTCAAACTTTTAGGGAAAACTCTACTGAATTTTTAGTAGAATTTTTAGAATATTATTCTAAGTATACGAATTTAAATTCTATAAATAAGTAGAAATAGTTATTAATTTTTGCTTGTTTATTTCTTCTAGCTGGTGATAGAGAGGGACGTTCTTTCTATTAGCAAGGCTAAGATTTTCGTACCTCTCAGTGAGTAATAATATATAATACCTTACCAAACTCATAAATGCATAATTCATTTTTTTTTAATTTCATTTCTCATATGCATATATATTTATATACATAATAAATTCTATGAATGGTTGCTTGTATTTAATGTGATGTGATTGCTGTGTTGAGATTACACAGAAATGGGGGCCTAGAACGTTCAAAATCAAAACACTCAATGGACTTGAACTCCCTCGGACTTGGAACTCAAACAATCTTAGACACTATTTCATGTAAATATCGAGGTATTAGATAAAGAAAAAAGCTCAATTTTCCCCCTCGACCTGGCATGAATATTCGAAATGCGCAAAAGCACCTTTTTTTTGCTAAAAACTCATGAACTTGTGATTTTTAAATCAAAATACTTATTTCTCCCCCTAGCCTTTGGTTGTGTATCTCATATGGTCAAACTATATTTTTTATTCAATTAAATATTTTGAAAATAAAAAAAAAAAGCCCTAATGGTATTGAAATCCATAATTCCTTAAATCACTTATCCCTCTCCTCGCGAAAATCCTCTAATACAAATACCAATTCCTCACATCGCATTTCTCAAATCAGTAAACAAAATCTTGAGATTAGGATGTGAAAGGTGAGGAATTGAGCTTGAATTCATCAAGTCATTCTTCTTCTTACGTATTTGCGAGAGATCGCAGAAATTCTCCTCAAGAATTTAATTACGATAGGCCACCAAATTTCTGCAATTATGGATTAAAGGCAACAAAATGGGTTTCATGGAGTGAATCAAACCCAAGAAGAAGGTTCTATTCATGTCAATATTTAAGGTAATTGAATATGGATATTTTAAGGTATTCTGAAATTTTTATCAATTAGTGTTACAGATAAATTCTCATTTTTTTCTTCTAGATGACAGCCAAAAGGATGTCATTCTTCGAGTGGCACCATGAGAAGATGAGTGAGAGGGCTGTGAATGTCATAAATGATTTGAGGGTAAATTTTTTTACTGTCAATGAAGGCAATGCACATTCTTATCAATTGATAAGGGATAGATATGATATTCGTGCACAGGAAATGGAGGTTGAGATGCAAGTTGTATTATGTGATTTGCTTGAGCAGAAGAATGAATTTAATAACCTCAAGGGAAGAGTATTTTGGTTATGGATTGGTCTTGGGTTAATGTTGGTGTTTTGCACTTTGCTCTGTTATGGGAGATATCTGTAGAGCATGTCTGACCTGTGCTTAGCTTATTTTATACAATTTATTACTCTGTTAGCTTTGCATAGCTTGTCACAATGTAGTTAGATGCAGGAACTTATTATGTAATATTGAATTTTGATTTCAATGGGAATGAGAAATACTAGAAATGGTTTTATTAAATCTCATAACATAACACTATTAACAAGTAAAGAAGGAATGAAAAACAAATAAATTGAATTAAAACCTACAAAGCTAAACTAATTTGTTTTAATGACAAAATGCAAAAACTTGATTAATAATATTCTTTACTCATTGCTCCATCATTGTAACCAGAATTTAACAAAAGTACTTGTTGCAGCACTCACAGAAAGAAGTTGCTGCTACATCTATAGAACCTATAACTAAAATTCCATTTGTGTTGCAGTAATAACAAAAAGAAGTTGTTGTTACATCTATAACCTATAACCAAAATCCCATTTTTATTGCATCAATAACAAAAAGAAGTTGATGCCTATTAAATCTGTATTACCCCATAACCAAAATATCGTCTGCAGCTTATTCAAAAAAAAAAAAAAAAACTGCAGCTGCTAAACCAGAGTATGAAATGAAATAAAATTATCTAAAATCTTCAACACAAACAAAAACAACAAAAATTGCTAATAACTTTAGTACTTCATGGCATCCATACAGGCCTAATTGGTTGCATTTTTTCCATTTGAACCCTTTGCCTGGTCTGCTACATTGCTGGCATCTACAAATCACCATCAATTGAAGCACTATTTGTAGGATTGTTCCTATGAAAATAATTTCTTGTGTTTGAATGTTTTCTTCTTCTCTACTTGGCATTTAAGTGAACTAGGACTGCTGGGATGAGGTTGTAGAGGCTGGGATGTTTAAAGATCCTGCATTTAATGAGGCTTGCATATTTGTTCTTCTTGTTATATTCCCAATTGCTCTTTGTTGTTGTTTAGACAATTGTCTTGCATTAACACATGGAGAAGCATTCCATTGAAGGCCAGCTACTTGAAAATCTCCATATCTGGGATTATAATCATATATGTTCATAGGAGGGTCTGTTGTAACCTTTCTCTGTTTTTCAGCAGTTATTGGATTGAAGACCTCAAGGTCATCTCGTTCCACATGCCAAGCTGTTTTAAATAGCAATGAAAATCAATAATATACTTTGCATAAAAATGAAGCTCAAAGCCAAAAGCATTGCACTTACATTCCATTGGACAGCTCCAATAACCTCATCATAGTGGAGCCCAAGGCCAAAAGTGCCCTTTCTCTTGGTGAATTTATTAGTGCTTGTTGGATCAACCATCTCCTTTCCCCTTTTAGAGCCACGGGGTGGATTTAGGGGTCTTATAAGGCCATGGGAACTCAGTTCTTCAATATGAATACCACCCAAATTTTGGCTGGGAGCAACATTGCCATCATTTGTAGTGTTTCTTCTTCCCTGCAGGACACAAGTAAATCAATTCACCATTAGGAGCAACATTGTCATCATAAACATTATCAAGCCAATATGTAAATAAGTACCTTCTCCTTAGTATTCTATTTTGGAGCAAAGGTGCAAATTATTGAATGACATTAGGATCAAGAGGGGGGTTCCACTGCCATGTTTAGATGTAACCTGCCAAAAAACATGCAAAAAAAAAAAAATTATGTTCAAAACAATATTTCACCAAAAGTGAAACAAAATGAAACTCTACATTTGCATTTGGACTTGCATCTGCATTGGCCATGCCTTTATTTTTACACCCTTTCTTATTGTGGCCTTTCTCCTTGCACACTAAGCATGTAATTTGCACACCTCTCCTAGATAATTTACCACTTTTTTGTTCCTCTGGATCCTTAACTCTATTCCTCTGTGGCCTTCGCGGCATTTTAATATCTTTGGAAGGTAGAATTTTCCCTTTACCTGTTCTTGGCCATTGTTTTTTCCCTCTAACTGGTAGCAATGGATAATGTTAGGCCATCAAAAACTTCTCTTTGCTATACCATTTATCTACATGATTAAGAATGTTTCCCTTCTTCAAGTACACTCCACATATATTGTGTGGACATGGAATTCCATTAAGATCTCATGATGTACAAGTACATGATTTTTTGAGCATGTCAACTAAGTGCCTATCACTACCTTCAGAAACCTCATACCTTTTTTTACCACTAAACTCAACATGACACTTAGAAGCCCTAAGCATATTCCTCACAAGTTTCTCTATTGCTGCAGGACTCATATCACATATCCATTTTTTAACTTCTCTTCCTCTTTCAATAATTCTTTTCATCAAAAACACTCTAATGTCCTTAAGCATAATTATAATATGTTTAGTCCTATACAATAATATATTACCAATAAATGATTCACTCACGTTGTTGTCTACACAATTTGATTTGCTTCCAATTGTGAAATAAGCCCTACACCTCTTAGGAGGAGGATAATTTAGCAAGTCAACAACACTGCCAGGGGCCAAAGCTTCAAGAACATTAAATTGATATTCAAATTCATGTCAATAAGTACTTTTAGTGCATATCCAAAACTGTCTCCTCAGTTCACTCCCCTTGCACTTCCTTTGCCATCTGTTGAATATGTGCATTGCACACCATCTGTGCTCAACATTTGGTAATTGTGTCTTCACAGCAATAATTACTAAATCTGGTAATTAGTCCTTGTGAATTATATAAACAATTAGTAAATGTCATTTCCCATAATTATTTGAATGTTTAAAGAAAGTTATACCTTTTGTATATCTGAAATAATTACTAGATCTCTGCAATCCTCAATTTCAAGATCTTGTTTTACTTTATTCAAGAACCAATTCCAAGTTGCAGTGCTTTTTACTCCAACAACAGCCAAAGCAATGGGGTACTGTTGTTCATTAGCATCCCTATCAATAGTTGTTAGCAACTCCCCCTTAGCTTTCAAAAAGCACTCATCAACTCCTATAATTGGCCTACACCCTACCTTCTAACCACTCTTAAGTGCACCAAAACACACATAAAATGCCTCAAGTTTCTTTGTTTCCCTATTTGAATGTACCAATACTGTACTATCAAGTTGCTTAACCTAAGCTCTTCTACATAGTCCTCCAACATTGCATATTATTATTTGAAGTCTCCTTCAAATTTCACTTTCAACTTCTTCTTCACCCTCATTTCCATACTGTAGGAAATATGAACTCTAAGATTACTCATTACATTCTCCATCATATCTTTCAATTTTATCTTTAGATTCAGCCTAAGCATCTCTAAAATGACCCACTAGTAATTTGGTGGTAAGCCTCTTATTCATATAAGTCCTAAAATATTTATGCATATGATTGTATGTTTTGACAACTATATCCTTTGAGTTACCATCCCTAGAGGCAAAAATTTGCCGAGGACATCCATCAAATGTGCAAGTAGCACTCACTCTATCCTTCTCATTTCTACTAAAATCAACCTCAACTCCTCTTATTACAGCATATTTGGTACAAGCCTCTTTAAACTGTGTAGCAGTCTTACATAGCATTCTAACAACAAAAGTAGGAAATTGGCAATTTGGATCATATCCCACCCTTGTTTTTGGTTTCCTTCTTAAGTTCCCATGTCCCTCATCTCCTGACAACTCTTCTACCTCACCTTCATCATTAGAATCATCACCCTCACCCACATTCCCTTACCACAATTCATCAGCTGAAACTTCACTAACATGCCCATCATCTCTGCTTCACCCTCATCTTCATTTTGCTCTTCACCCTCATCCTCATTTTGCTCTTCACCCTCCCCTTCATCGCCAATGCTATCTTCATCATCAGTTGAACCTCTATTTTAAAAAAAATTTTGACTTGTTCCGTTGCTCTATGTAGTTCTTTATTGCTAGATTGATAGTCAGGATCCACTTTAGTCTCTTTATACTCACCATCCTCAATTTCAATACCAATAGTGCTTCTCTTGGTACCAACTTCAGGGGATTGGACTATTGTTTCTATCGTTGGATTCAAATCTTGTTTCATTATTGCTTCCAATCACATTCTCATTAGGTTGAGCCTCGGGATTGTTACTTCCAACCTCAATTTCAAAGACACTAGGAGCTTTACCAACATCAAACTCTATCTCCCGAAATCCTAAACCATCTTCATTTGAAACATTATCTCCCCCATCCTCTATTTGTACATGATTTCCCTCATTCCCTGCATTTTCAATGGTAGGCAAAAACTGCAAATCACTTAGACATTAGGTTCATCAACGAAATGTTCAACATACAAGTGGATATCGTCATTTTTTTCATAACCAAATGTTAACATGTGATGAACAGCAGCATCATCCTTCACCTCAATTAACCTAGCATCTTGTACACTACTTCCTTTCGGCAACCAATAAAACTTAAAATTACCTCCATAACCACAAAGGCCTACCATTTTATTAGTCTCCTATAGTGCAACCCATCAATGTCATTAACATTAAAAGATTCAACCTCACCTCCATAATAACTGACTTTGCCTTTTCTTACTTTAAAAACACCCTTGTGATGAACTCCAATTGTGACACCAGTCTCATACGACTTGTTGATGACAAATAAAAAAGAACCTTAAGAGGTTTTCACATGCAAAATATTGAGTGTAATAGAAAATCATTTTTCCCAATATTGTTATATAAATCTCATTCTTTCTCCATTCAATGCAACAATCATATAATCTACCATTGTAAGCTTTTTATGTAAATATAAGTGAAAGAACGTTACCTGGAGAGGGGCAATATAGTTGATAGAGAATGCAACTTCAATCAGTTCTAGCTTTTTGAATTTTCTCAATTCCTACTGCAACTTAGACAATCAACCCCAAATTAGAGTTTGTTATGAGAGATTCTGCTGTGATTTTCCCTCCTAAACATTATTGAGGGAGATCAATTGTTGCCCTCACTAACGTTTGGCTCCCAAATTGCAATTCCAAACGCTTCTTGTTCTGTGTCTCTCATGCGCTCTGACCCAGAGGAGAAATGGATGTTTTGATTTAAAAATAGCAAGTTCATGAGGTTTTAGCCAAAAAAAAGGTGCTTTTTGTGCATTTCGAATAGTCATACCAAGTTGAGGGGGCAAATTGATCTTTTTTCCTTAGACAAAAGCTAGATTTTTTTCACTTAGCCTTGCAAAGCCCATAAGAACTGGATGTATTAGGGAGAGCCAGGGGGCTCGAGACTAGAGCAACAAAAGATCTTGAGAAGCTAAGTTTTTTCCTTGGCTTTTACGAATGATAATAAAGGTAAAAATATTCTCAAAGCTCAGGCGTTCATCAGGTTATATAAATAGGGTCGAGCCCCTATCACTATAAAAATTAAAGCTCTAAGATAGCATATGAAGACAAAAACTGCCTAAGTATATAAATAGGGCTGAGCCCCTATCACTATAAAAATTAAAGCTCTAAGATAGCATATGAAGCCTATCACTATAAAAATTAAAGCTCTAAGAGAGCATTTGAAGGCAAAAACTGCCTAAGTACATAAATAGGGTCAAGCCCCTATCACTATAAAAATTAAAGCTCTAAGAGAGCATTTGAAGGCAAAAACTGCCTAAGTACATAAATAGGGTCAAGCCCCTATCACTATAAAAATTAAAGCTCTAAGAGAGCATATAAGAGTGGGAAAATACCTAAGTACATAAAGTAAAACACAATTAAAAGTTACATACCGGCTCAATAACACAATATCAACATAAACAAGCATCACACAGTAAAGATACAAATGCAGTGCACACTAGAACAAACGATACCAGAGAAGAGAATTGGAAGTTCTTTTATATATTACAAAGCATTATTAAAAAAAAATAAACAACAAAAAATATTAAGAAAGCTACTCTATGGGAGGTTAATCCTCCGCCTCAAGCATAAAGAAATGAGGCTCGTCCTCAACTACTGGTAATCTAGTAGGACCAATGGCCTCGAACGCATCTAGTGCCACACGATCCCCCCAACTGAATCATGCACAACCTTCCCCTAAAGATGCCCCTCTATAGCCAAATCCTCTTCATCACCCAAATGCTGATATACATCAATCTGGATAATAAAACCCCAGTCCTTGGGGAATCGTGATTTAAGCTCATCCAAGATCAAGTCAGATGAAGTATCAACATGTCATTCACAGATCGAGTGGCCTTAGTAGCAACGAACTTTAGCTTGGGTGAAGTCCGCATGAAGTTGACAAATGCTCACAGCATCATCCTCCCTTTGCTTAACCAATTGCTCCACCTGAGAACTCAGCTTGAGAGAGGAGTCAAAGTTGTGCATCACTCTCCTAAGAGATAGCTCATATCTTATCCTTAAGCTCGCCCACAAAGCGACTATGCTCCATTATCTAAGACAAAATAGAGTTCTCCAGCTTCTCAAGTTTAGGCTTCTCGGCCCTTACGTCCTCAATCAAGGTAATAACCAATTCTTCTAATTCTCTCATCCGCTAACGGGTCTTGTTGTGAGCACTCACCAACTGAGACACATGAAAATAAGAAAATTCACGCAGCAAAAAAGAGAGAAGATAGAAACAATACAAAAAGCAAGAAGCAACACACATACCATCAGAAGTCCACTGTCAATTTGATTTAGGGAAGAATCCTCCCCCAAACCTTCTAAGCAAGTCAAATTCGTAGGGAGAATGCATTGACTAGCCAGAGACCGAGCGACTTCCCCACCACTCACCAAAGCCTCTTTGCCATACGTTCTCCTCAAGGTGGTCTATAGCTCCAAGCCCTTCTCTGAGATAGGAGAATGGGGCTTATTGTCACCCCCTCACTGCCGCTTTCTTCTTCTTTTAGGCTTGGTGGTTTTCAAACCAACAAGAAGTTCATAGAGCATCCAAAACAATGGAATGAGAAGTTTTAGTAGGTGGCAGAACCACTAAAGTACACACAGGCGACACTGTGACGGGCACCCCAGAACGTCTCAAAATAGGTCGAGGCGCACTTAAGCCCCTTCCAAGAGTCTGACCAAACCTAATGGCCAGTCTATGATCTCAATTTGCCGTTAGGCGAATCCTCATATCCTTTGATAGTTTTGGAGCCATATCTGCAAGATAGAGAAAAGTTACAAAAATAAAAGTCAGTCATAGAAGAAGAAAAACCCAAAAAAATTAACTCACCCTCAAACTCCCGAGCCCTCCCTTTCCTTGAGGGCTAAGCTTTAAGACTTAGAGGGATGTTCACATCCAACAAAGGAACAAGAGGAGGAGTGTTACGAGCATAGCATTTCAGACTCTGTATCCCAAACCCTTGAAGGTGACCAACAAGGAAGAACTTCTCTTTCCACCACCCCTTCAGAAAAGTACTCTTCAAAGGGAAAATGTTATAATCTTTCTGAGTAATGAGATGGGGATGGTCTTCGAGGCCCCTCCAGAAAAAGTTAAACATGCTATGTAACTGATGTACATTGAGCTCAAAACCTTGCTGCTTAGCCACAATGGAAGCTCCCAAAATCATCTGAATGTTGTTGGGAGCAATCTGTCCAATTGTCACCTCCCAGTCGTTGCAAAACTCGGACAAGATCCTTTGAAGAGGGAAACGAACACCAACTCGATAATCCTCAGCGTTGACAATGACAGTTTTTTGTCAAGGTTGGCATTTGCTCTCATCTTATATGGCGGAATGCTAATTTGGTACTCGTCAGGAATAAGATAGCGAGCCCGAATACTAGCCAAATCATGCTCGGGCAGTATAGAGCTCAAGTCTAGCACCCTCACATTCCCTTGACGAGGACAAACAATAGAGTCAGTTTGATGGGAGCGAGAAGATACACTTCCCTAACGAGGGCGAAATTGGGTTAGCCTTTGTCCTCCTAACCTCGAGAGACTATTCGGGTGTAGTCTCATTGCGCAGTTGGGGAATCGAAAAACCAGAGGAAGATTAACCTCGGCTGCCTAAAGCAATAACCCCTTGGAATCTCCATTGGAGTAGGCTGGCTTCATCCTCAGAGTCGGACTCAGAACCCACCCCCAAAATACAGTTGTCATCCTCACATCCCGCTCAGTCATCCTCACAGTTTTGGAACTCGACAGGAGACTTACCCTTGGATTGACGACTAGAACTCATAGTGAGAAAAGAATATGAATAGAAAGACAGTGGGATAGCTCCTAAGAAATCAAAGTAAAGATTACTTGAAACACATAGGTGAACATCCCATGAACCGTCGCCAGGAACTGAAGCACCACAGCAAATGAAGAGTCACTCTTTTGAAATTCAAGATGCAAAAACCACCTTCAAAATAATGGTTATACCTAATCTTGGGCCCTTAAACTAGGTAAAACGGATTTAGGCCCAAAGATCCTTTCTTCTCCTTAAAAAAACAAAGGCCCATACTTCTACAGTAGATATGGTCGCTCTTTAGATACCGAGCAATGCTCAAGGTTAGCTCCCCTTATACGATATCGCTCAGACATTCCTTTTCCTCCAAAAGTTTAAAAACTAAGAGAGTCCCAAAGAGTTAGACCAGCTTCAAACTTCCGATATAAATGTCAAGTATTCCTAGTGGGGGGACCTATGATAAACATCAATCCTAACAAACCTGGAAACCATGTAACAAACGCAACATAATAGAAATAAGATATTGGCGTAATATTAGGAGATAGTGCCCAGATATTACTCTCCTGTATTTGCGTGGCTTATCCAAACAACTAAACCATTTATATAAAGGGGAACTCTCCCTCTAAAAAAGGTTAATGCCAATTGAATAACCCAATACTATCTGAATTCAAATTCTCATACTATTATAACAATTCTGTAGCTATCAGGTATCAAAGAAAACAAATTGATGAACGAAATTACAAGATAAAGTTAATAATTAAGGAAGGGTGATAAGCAATCGTGGATGGAGTGCATGAGGGAAGGAGAGGTGATTTAGGTCCGTTTCAAGCCCTTTCCAAATGATTTTAAGTGTTTGGTTCAATTTGATGGATTTTGTTTCAATTTTGGCTGGCTTTTCCTTCGTTTATTTGATTTCCAATAGGTTTTTTTATATTTTAATCATCCAATATCCGAAACCCACTGGTCCGATTAATCTGGATTCGCGCGGGGCAAGCCTACAAAGGGAGCAAAGTGCTCCCTCCCGAGTATTTAAAGGAATTCCATACTCGGAGCTCGAATTCAAGACCTCTAGTTAAGGGAGAAGGGATCCCTCCATCCCATCTCACCCCTCAGGAGTTCCAATAGGTTTTTCTTTGATTATTGGTTTGACTTATTATTGCTCAATAAGCACGCAACTTAAAATATTATTATATTATAACATAAGTTAGTAATTTATTTTTAGATTCAAAAGTTTTACACTTAATAAAGTGGGGTATTTCAGATATATTTAAAAAAATAATGACACGTAACTTATTTTATTTTCAAACCTAAAATATATATTTACATAAGTTTTCGATTAGAAAGATTCATAACATTTTTTCCCAATCAAGAGCTTGGGAGTTCAAACTGTGACATTTATGTTCCAACTATCAAATGCAAGAAGGTATCTATATATGAAATAAAATAAAATAAAACACTAAATTAAGTTAATTGTATAACAATAAAAAAAATTATTATAAGAAATATTTTTTTTTTAATATCGTAATATAGATTTTCCTTCCTCGTAACAAATAATAAAAGCAACTTCGAATGAAGATAGCCCAATAACAAAGAGCATTTGTGAAATTGATCAGCGTGACTTAAGTTATGGATTTAATTTTTTGCAATGCAAACTTCTCCAGACCAGCAAGCAAACTCCCGCGAGGACAAATAGAGATTAGCTGGACTTACCGTAGGCCGTAAAAACGAACACGGGTCTAGACACCTCGTGGAAGTATACAAAAAATAAAAAATAAAAAATAAAGCAACCAACGCACATCAACAGTAGAAGCAAAAGCATTGTAATAGGTCTCAGCACTAAGCTATAGACTATAGTTTCGTTGGATGCCTGGGAGGGATGCATGCAAACTAAAGTTTGGTAACTAAAATATGGGGATGTATCCTGACCCAGTTCATTGTCTGCGTGTTGGGCACCTTCAGAAAGGAGTGGTGCATGTGGGTATTGCGGAAAACCAACAAGAAATGATCTCTAAGGTGGACAAAAACCATTGCATGTGCTTTTTTCTTAGGTATGTAATGTCATATCAACTACTTGTCATCACATGTATTTTTATACATACTCCTCCTTTATTTATTTTTTTTTTATTTTTTAAGCATGCATATACAATTGATAATTCTTAAATAAAAGTTGCTTTCTAATTCTCAGTTAAATCCCATGGTGCAGCTAAGTTTTTATTACATCAAAAGGAGGTACCTCCAATTAGAGATATTTCATTGATCATAATTATATATGTTTTCCAATTTCTTTTTGGGATGGTTTTATTTTTTTTTTTTTTTTTTTTTTAATTCTTAAATAAAGTTGCTTTCTAATTCTCAGTTAAATTCCCATTGGTGCAGCTAAGTTTTTATTACATCAAAGGATGGTACTTCCCAAATTTACGAGATATTCATTGATCATTAATTATATATTGTTTTCCAATTTCTTTTTGGATGGTTTTTATTTTTTTTTTTTTTTTTTTTGGGGCTGTTGCATTAGTTTTTAAATCAGAGTTATAACATTATTAAGCTTGGCTTGTTTTGTTTTTTTTTTTTTTTTTTTTTTTTTGGGGGCTGTGCATTAGTTTTCAAATCAGAGTATAAATTATTAAGCTTGTTTATGAAAAATAATGAAACTTCAAATAATATTTAAATTCGCTTTAGCTTCATTAATAAATAAGTTAGTGTGGAACTCCAGCTCAGTTCAAATAGTTTGGATCGTTTTACTGCCGGATTCACATGTATATGATTAATGGGAATGCTAATACGAACACTCTTAATGTTCTGTAAACAATGAGATCTCTCAATTAATTCTTTATATTACTTTTTTTTTAAAAAAAATCAATATAAGAAATTTTTAAGTTAAAAAAAAAAAGAAATAACATTATATAGATAATACTTACGATTTAATAGCCCGAAAAAATTAATGAAAATAAAAATTTTTTAAAATTTTTTCCTATTTCATCCTTTTTTTATCAATACATGGTCAAAAATACTCTCCTTTTAATTAATATTTTTATTTTTATTGGTTTTGTTTATGGGTGAAACCATAAAAGCAGGCTAGATAAGTCAGTCCCATGCATCTAATTGGCAACGGGATAAGTTCTATGAATAGTTTGGTCAACATATCTTTTTATCTTTAAACTAAGGAAAAGTGCACGTTGTCAACATTTTCAATTTCGCGTCTTCCATTGCAGGATAGGACAAAATCATTTTTATGTTATATATATTTTGATGCCAAACATGAGTTTTAAAGCAACAAGCACACATGCTACAGATTCTGAGTTGTTAAAGCTAAATTCGATCAGATTCTGATTTTTTTAAAGTTGCGAAATGGGAAAGAAACAAGCTAATGAAGGAAGGAGAAGAGCTCCAAAAGGTCATTTTGTTGTCTATGTGGGCAATGAACTAAGAAGACACACAGTTCCATTATCTTACTTGGAAAATCCAAGTTTTCGGCAACTGATGCAAAAGGCTGCGGATGAGTTCGGATTTAATAGCCAAACAAGCATTATCCTACCTTGTGATGAATCAACCTTCCTCATGGTAATAGATTCTCTGGAAAATACATGCTCTTCCAGAATTTGTAACTTAGAAAGTATTCTCCGCATAGTTTGAAGTGTCAAAATTCAACTACATGTCATGTTATCTTCAACAGGAAGAGGATCCACAATTTAGATTAAAAAAAAGAAACTTTCTTGTTCCCCATTTTGTTTGGTACAGAAAACTAGATGATAATATTATGATAAAATTACATTTTTTGTCCTTATATTTTAACTTAATTAAATGTTATCTTTGTATTTTAAAAATTACATTACCTTTAACTATGTAGTTTGAGCCGTCAAACGATATTACCTTCCATACAATATTATTTTAAATTTATGTTGTTAAGTGCTAGTAAAATTAGACTAACTCTAGATACCAATGTTTTGAAATCCAACCAACCAGTCATTGAACTACTGAAAGTAAAAGTTTACTGAATCGGAGGATTTGACGTTTGGTACATCTGGTACTATCATTAAGGGTCATACATTTGACATTTGGTACATTTGGTATTATTATTAAGTTTACTGAATCCAACCCTTCACTGATCTCTCTATATTAAGGGTCATACTTAATACAACATCCCTTCTCTTATTTACTCCATATTATCATTATCTACCCAATCCCCCACCTTCCTACATAGAAGATTACACTTTATATAATTACATTCTCTATATTTACATCATTCCTCCCCCTTTTAGCCAAATAGGATCCCCATGTGTACTCTCTTCCACTCAAACAATCGACGTCCCATCAATTAGGGTAGTGTGCTTGGAGTCTATACATTTCTCCTTTGCCCTAATTGTTCTCTGATCTACCTCTTCTTACAATGGAATAGTCTCTTCATTAACTGATTTGCTTCTGCATCGTGTATACTAGCATCCCTAAGTGCCCATTACTAATCGAGTGGCTATATGCTTCATGCTACTTCATGGCACTGTTATAAGTATACAACCAACAAAACCCAAAGCAGCCACAAGATAGAAATATATGTGATAGAATTGGTAAGTCCTTTTCTTAATGTATATTCATATTTCATTACATTAGAACCAATAAGCACAAATGAAATAACACATCAAGGTAAGAAGTAATACAACTTACACATATACTTTTCTTACCCATCTGCACGCGACACAGTACCCATCTCGGTTCTCATTATTATGGGCTTGTCCTTCTAGAGTTATGCCATAATTTAAACATCTTGTTATTCTAGAGCTGTGCCATCATTTGAACACCTTATTGATTTGCATTCGATCTAATTTTGATGGACTGCAACTTCCTCTTTAGAGTCATTGCTGATTTGCAGTTGTTTTTCTATGCATTGTACCTGTCAAAACAAGGAACCACAATGCATAACATACATTTCTTTCCTTCCCTCCTTTTTTTTTTTTAGTGTAACAGTAGTAATGTAACAATAGTATAGCAATTGATTAATAAAAGCAAATCACTTATGATACACCAAAACCCGTCTTGATTTCCATTTTGATGTTTGCATTTTGCTCTTTCCTCTTGTCACCTCACTCACCACAGCTTGCGCTTAACTTATGCGTTGGTAGCCTCATGTTGTATTGGTGCACAAGCTATATATAAAATCATTTTTGTTCTCATGGCTATTACCCCCTTTATACAAGCTTAACTTGCTAGGGCCTATAACACTCCATGAAAATATACGAAAACATTATTTTGATTGTGACATATCAAGCCTTCTTCGCTTACCATACATGATCAAAACCTGACTTCTTTTGTCATCTCACTTTTGCTCATATGGTCCCATTGGAAAGTGTCTCGCATGCTACTCTTAACTAAATAGTCCTGTAAGCACAAAACAACAAACAAGTATCTCAGGGCAAAACATAAGTATCTTGGCTCATCATTTCCCCCTTTCCATCGAGTTAGTAAAAAAGATTTTTATTTTAACATTGCCCACGGCCTGAAATATCAACTGCAGCCTGATATTCCTTCCGCCGAGCTTATCTCATTCTTAGCATTGCTCACGGCCTGAAATACTAGCTGCAGTCTGGTATTCCTTCCGTTAAACACATCTCAATAAAGCATTTGTGAGCAGCTTCCGACTCTCTTGGCAAGCTCTCCCCGCAACAATCACATATCCAACAACCGACTCGTTTGGTGTTCTGCGCCTCCTATCTCAAAGAGTAGGAACAAGTCTTATCGAATGTTCAACAAGCAATCTCTGACGTGCTTCGTAAGTCTTCCTTAAAAATTCCACCAATTTTCCATACTTCCACCTCACATAGGCAACTATAACATGAAGTGATCATCTCTGCATCCATGGCGGACTCTCGCACCCACTGCTTCTTACTGAGCGCCTTTATGTGCATACGTTGCTTGCTCAAGTTAGTTCCAAGCGCATGCATCCCCGACTCTGGGTTCACTATATATACTCAATCCAACTTGCTTTATATCTCTTATTTTCTGTACAACTGTGCAGTCACTAGATGTCCATCCACGATGCTTCAGCTCGAATGGTGCCTCTCACCATTATCCTTTTATCTAGATCAATCAACTCTGCCTGGGCCACTCATAGCCGACAACGCTCGTCTTAATCATGGCATCTCAACTTCTTATGTGTATGCTTCCGTGAGGATCTATGCCTAAATTTTGCATATCCAGTCTACACTCTATTGTTCCTATCTACGGCTCTCGCACCAGCTGGGTCCATGTCCTTGCATCTTCACCTCAATTACGTATATTGCCCCTCTACTCTAGGCATGCTATGCATTCCCATTGAGATTTGTTGATAGCTCGCATTTTATTATCCATTCTGCTACTTGATACCACCTCTTACAACTGTGCCCGAAGGAGTGTACTACTCAGGGAGACATGATGCCAACTATCAGATACTGCCATCCATAGCCCGCATCACCTGCTCGCCTCTATTACCATTAATCCGGAATGTACGTCTCAGCTAACATAACTTGCACACAAGTCTCTAACAAAAGCCAGCCGTCTCCAGCAACAACCAGCCATCTTGTTCTGATACCAAATATAATTAAAACTATAGAATTTACAAATACAAAATAGTTTTTACAAAAAGGATAAAAAAATTATATATGATATATCCTTTAACACACATAAGCTTATATATATATATATATAATAAGAACTTTTAACTAATTATTATAAATAATACACAATAAAATTTTAATTTATTTTGAAAATATAATAATAATTTATTATTATTATTATTATTATTATTATAACTAAAAGGTAAACTAATATATAATAAAAATAAAATTGTTATAAAATACAAAAAATAGATAGAATATAATGAAATTGAATAAAGAGAATATAGAGAGAATAATTCTAATTCATTAGAAAAGCGTAACTCTATAGAGAATCTTAGTTACCAATCTATAGGATTAAGGAACTATTTATAGGATATAAAATAAAATCTAAAAGGCATAACTTTACACACCAAAGGATATAATCCTTCATCATAAAGGTCATAACATTACATATTAAAGGATATAATTATTCATCCCAAAGTACATAATCTTTTATTTCAAAAGACATGACTTATGGAGAGATAAATAATTTTTTTAATAAACTTAATGTGCATCTATCATATAATATAATCTTTAAAATAAAAACAATAGACATGGTTGATTTTGTTTTCATGTGAAAAAGACAATATTTGAGAAGCCACGTGCCAAATACAAAAGTCAAACATGGAAACACGGACAGAAAAGGATTAAGGCCTAAGTTGATGTTCACGTCAATTGGCTGTTTAATAAATACACGTCAATTGGCTGTTTAATAAATACCCAAAAGAGAGAAATTTGACTGGTTGAAAAAAACTTGAGAGAAATTTTCAATCGTAGATTGAGTTTGACCTCCGGGAGGTGAGTCTCACCGTTGACGCCAAGGCGAAGCAGATCGTCGATCCACTTCAGGCAAGGTGGTCAAGCCACAATCCGCTTTCAAAGCAACTCACACGCTATAATCTTCTCTATTTTATTTTTTTCTTTTTTTTTTTATTTGTTGGTTTGATTTGAATGTTAGTAATTATTCAAATCGGTTCGACGGTTCTTATTCGGTTCCTACCAGTTCTTAGCGTTTTAGCATCTCGAGAAAATATTCGTTCATCCCGAGAAAAATCTAATATTAATTTAATAGTTTCATCTCGAACCCTGTCCCGGAAGCAATTATGAAAAAAGACTGATTCTTTAATTAAAATCAACCTATATTGATACAAGTTTTGTCCTATCCTATTTTGTCCTAAAAATCTGAAATTCTCGTTCCATTTAAAATTCTAAATGTCTTTTTTTATGAATATCAAAATATGTCCATAAAAATCATTTTATCCTTTATATTTTTAGTCTCTTATGATACCAATCACTACTAAAGTAATAATAATAAAAAAATAATAATTATGCATTTTTAAAATATAAAATAAATCAAATAATTAAACATATTTTTTTAACATAGTTTTTTCTTGTGCTGTTCCACAGTGTGTGTTAAGTAAATATTTTTGAGTAATTTTTTCTATTAAACAAAAAAAAAATAATCAATAGAAGAAAAAAGATTAACTTTAATTAATCTAATTACTGGATTATTAGTTATGCTTAATGCTTTCATTATTTATTTTTCAGATGACATTTGAAATTAAATTAAGTATCAAATTTAAATCAGCTTAAAGACAACAGTAACAAAAACAATGATGAGCTAAAATTCAGAAAAAAATGTGTAAATTTAAATTGTATATATTTTTGCATTATTTTATTTTATTATATTTTTGAAATTAAATTAAGTATCAAATTTTAAATCAGCTTAAAGACACCCAGTAACAAAAACAATGGATGAGCTAAAATTCAGAAAAAGAATGTGCTACCATTTAATTTGTATAAAATCAGCTTAAAGACAACAGTAACAAAAACAATGATGAGCTAAAATTCAGAAAAAAATGTGTAAATTTAAATTGTATATATTTTTGCATTATTTTATTTTATTATATTTAACGTTTTTATTAACTGAAAAATAATTACTTAAAAATCTTTTATTATAGTAACTTTAGTAGCAGATCATCAATGATTGAATTAATTATTTGATATATTTTCTTACTCAAATTTATATAAATAAATTTTATTTTATTATAATCGATGAATATAGTAATTTTATCTTTTTAATAAAAAATAATTCAGTAAAATTACAGAAAATCCCGATTGATTCCCGATCTGACACATTCCGTCCTATCGTATAGACCCAAATTTCCATTCCTTGTATCCTATAGACCCGTCTTATCCCAAAAAATAGAATAGGATTTTTACATAATTAATTGCTGTCCGTATTGTTTTTTTTTTTTTAATGGAAAAGGACTCTAAACATGAGGCCAAAAAGCCCCCCTACAATCAACATCAATCAACAAACAGAGTCTCAGGAGAAGGATAATTTGTTTGATAAAGACGAACTACAAAGATAAAATAGTGCAATACTTGTAATGTAAGGACAAATAGTAAACCATAATAATTATAAACCAATAAACAAAGTAGAAGCATTGAAAAAAAAGGAAAGAAAGAAAGAGTAGAATAACAAGCCGAATGATCTTAAACGATAGTTCTAGGAAAATCAGGATCCATGCTTATGATGACAGAATCACAAAAAGCTCGGTCAAAGAAAGCAATGCAGTTTTTTTAACTTGCAAAAATGGTAAAAATACAGTATCTAATATCTGAGTGTCAACCGCTTGTTCAGTAACAGATGGTATACTGCATTACAAAGCAATGGTCCAAAAAATTCATCCCTCTCCAGAGTATAATCAACTAAATTTGACAAAAATTTCTATACCTTCCTTCTTAATGAGAGGAATCTAAGCGTTACTGGTTCTGAGCTTGGACTGACACTCATACATGTTTCTTCTTTTCTAAATTAGCTTCAGCAACCTGTTGCCGTTTTCTCCAAGCTGGAATCTTACCTGGGAAAGCCCATCTCAACAATCTCTCCCACATATAGCAGATTATGAACATGACAAAGGACCCAATCAACAGCTTATTCCTTAATCCTGATGGCATTGGCACCAATTTTAACCAGTCATTTAAGTCCCTGAACAGATCAGAAGTGATAACTGTGAAGAAACCTACAGCTGCCAAAAGGGCATAAAAAAATGGTTTGTTTTCTGTGACGCTCTGGTTGAAAGGATGACCCATATAGTTCACAGCAAATGTGGCCACCTGGATCATCATGCTAACCATGTAAGAAACTGTGTTCACCAGATTTGGATGAAAATCAGAGTCTGGCTCAATGCATTCATCCGGCATATACTTCTCAGCCTCTTTTACAGAAGATATCAAGAAAAACAAGTGCATTGCAAACTGTCCCATAAGAGAAAGGAAGACATACAAGCAGAAAATATTGGGGTGGGGCCGTTCAGCTGAAAGGGTAGGAAGCGGGCGTGCATGTGAGATGAATAAGAAGAATGCAGCTGTAAAGACACCACTGATTGTGGCCTGGATATCACCAAGCTTAACACCATCCAAATACATAACGCTCAACACATATGCCGTAGCAAGGCAGTTGAGGCCAAGTATCTTGAACATCTGGAGAGTAGTGACAAGGGTGCTGCGACCCTGACGAATTATATCAGTGGTTGGGGCAACTGATGCATGTTTTGCTGTAAAAGGAGAAGCCATTGAAGCATCCCCAAGCTTAACAATGGGAGCTGAGCGACCATCACCATCCTCATTCATCTCATCCATTAGTTTTTTCAGCTTCTGTCTTTGCATCTCTGCAGCTGTAAGATGGCGGTTACCAACTGAGTGACTACTGGACTCTGATTTTGGAACAACCTTGCCTCGAGAAGAGCCTTCTCCAATTAGATTATTAGTTTTTCCTGCCAGTTCTGATGTGGGCTTCGATTTTTTTGATTTGACAGACTTCACATCTCCATCTTTAGATACTTCTGCAGAAGAGTTTCCACTTTGTGCAGGAGGCACAGCATTCAATAGTGCAACTCCTACATGTGCCTGAAAAATGTGTTACATTCTTATTACTTTCTTGCTGCTTCCGATTCTGGGAACATCCGCCAGAGTAATATATATATATATATATATTGCATTAAAGCTGGAAATTATTTTAGGCAGAAATCTGTCGTGTGCACATGCACATGTCTGTGTGCATGTTAAAGAAAGATTGCAAGCCAGAGCAATTCACAAATTTAAGGCTGTAACAAGTTAAGGATGCGTGACTGGGCAGAGTTTTGAACATTCCAAGCTAGCTAAGTTGGATAAAGGCCTATTTTACTGTCTAATTTCATGCAATACTTTTACTGCATCCCCAACAAAAGTTACTTCTCTATAAAGTTAAACATACAAAGGCTAAATAAATGCAGGAAAATAAAGAATTACAAATAGGGCCTGATTACTCTGAGAGCCATAGTCCAAAAAAAATTGTCAATTAATGAATCTAACCTAATCAGTCTAACATTCTGCTGAGATTATTATTCATCATGTATCAGCATGAATTAAAATAGCATTTCACTATTTTGAAAGAGAACCAAGATAATGGAATCAAGCAAAGATTAATCAATAACTAAGAAATATTAGGCTTCTAAGCTAGGCATATAGGAGTGAATTGGAACACACTAACTGCACAGCTAAAAACAAGGATGGGATTGCATGCATACCCATAAAAGAGGAAAAAAATGTTGTACATGTATGTATATATACCGAGAATGACTTGTCAAGACCCGGTTTATAGCTCCACCCATGGGCCAATCCAATGAAAAGTAATATTTCTTCTTTTTTATTGAAAAAGAGAGTATTTTTGACCATTCATTGAAGAAAAGGATAAAATCGGAATAATTTTTGAAAAAAATCTCTATTTTCATTGGTTTCGCCTATAGATGCACCCATAGACTGGGTCTAGGCAAGTTTTATCCATCTATACCTGCTTCAAAGCACCAACATCATTGGTTCCATCACCACACATCAATGTTATCCTTCCCACCATTTTGAAAGTGGTCATGATTAATTCCTTTTGGTCAGGAGCAACTCTAGCAAAGACCTGAGATAATAATAGGGGGATGTACATTAATAAGTCATCAAGAGCTTCATCATAAAAGACCATTGTCTAACAAAAATTATCATTTCAAACCTTGACATGAGGAATGACTCGAAGTACAGCAGAACTTTCTTGCAACATCTCAAAGCAGTCTCCTCCTATACAGAGGTCATGAGTTTCTGATAAAGTTCCAACTTCTTTGTCACTGAAATTAATGGCATTTATCTAAAAGTCAGAATCACATTTTGAAGAGCACGCAGATTTAAGGAATACTTTTTAAGTATCAAGCACTGCAGTGGTTAAATAGTCAATAAAACATCGAGAATAATGTTTATAACTCTGAAATTTGCCAGGGTTTGAAACTGGGAGACACCTCAATGATCATAGTAAAACAGCAACTTAAAAAATAACTTGTTGGCTGAAAACAAACACGACCCCATAATACGGCAGATAAAACTCTAAGATACAACTTAACATGGCTTTCAATGTGTAATTACATTTAATTCTGGTAAACAATGCAATGACAAATATTTGAATGATTATATGAGATGGAACTTGAAAGTGTATAGGGGAAAAAAGAAAAAAGAAAAAGATGAAAGTTTTTACTTGTAAGGGACTATCTCTGCCTCATCTGGTGATATCCACTCATATCCTTCAGTATACCTCGAACGGGTAAGAATTAATACTGGTTTTGATATGATATAGACTTGGCCAGCAACATGGCAAGCTGTCAAAGCCTGATCACCAGTGATCATCACCTAATACAGAATATTTCTTCAGAAGGATATTTCAAATTAAATTATAAATTTTAAATGATATATGCCAGGCAACATGGCAAGCTGTCAACAGCCTGTCACCAGTGATCATCAGCCTAATACAGAAATATTTCTTCAGGCGAAGGATATTTTCAAATTAAATTATAAATTTTAAAATGATTATTATATACTAGTATATATATATATAAATATTATAAACAGGTTATTCAAAAGTAAATAAACAGGATTTTCCTTTGTTGCAGAGGAGCTAAAACAATGGGACCACATGCAGTGTGTATATATAACAGGTATTCAAAAGTAAATAAACAGGATTTTCCTTTTGCATAGGAGCTAAAAACATGGGACCACATGCAGTGTGTGTGGGATGTAAATGTCAAAGAATAAGGCTTTTGAGCATCTGTCTTTTATGCATTTGTAAATTATATACATCAAAAAAACAAAAGCAATGGCTCAAACATGCAACAATAATTCCTAACAACAAAAAAGATTATTTAAAACGCTTCTCCTTTCCCTTAAATATGCTAATGTGAAATTTTTATGAAGAAGACACAAGCCATGTCATGTAATTTGAGAAGGTATGGCATGTGCTTTTGAATTTGGGTAAAATGACACCTTGGGCATCTAGGTTCACTCACTTTTGAAAGCCAAGTCTAAAAGATTATTTAACATTCTTGACAATTCAATTGCAAAACAACTCATAAGGAACTGGCACTTCTTCTAAGTTATCCATTACTTTCTCTTAAACTCCCACCTAATACTTCAAATTTTAGTAGGTTATGAATTTGAGCTTTTAGTTAGCATATCAAGTTCAAATCCGTTCATTTTCAAATCCCAACTGTGTCCCCAAATGCAACCAGATTGCAACTTCTAATTTTAATTAAGTGAATAAAAGCAACTTAAAGTAGTGAAAGAAATCTTGTTCTTACCAAGTCATGTGATGAATTCTTTAATTCGGATAAAATGGTGGCTGAATCTGCTCTCATAGGGCAATTAAATACCTGAGATTTAAATTATGAACATTTAAGTTATGGAAGGGATATTATAAAAAGCAAACTCAACACCAATTCAATATATCAGAAGCAGTAAATTGGTCAGACAGAGAAGCAGAGGAAAGGGGCTAAAAGAGGGATTAATTGTGGTGTCATTTGCTTACCGCAAAACCAGCAAAAGTAAGACCACTCTCGACTACATCTCTATCCAAGCTTCTAGCATCACTAACCTTCATCCAAGTGAAAAAATGAAAAATAACAACTTAAGCATAAATCACACTTCAAAATATTCAGAACTTTAGAATCAATATTCCTTAGAGTAACTTTAGCACAATCACAATTGTGACTCGTGTAAAATGGCCAGGCAAAGTCACATTTCCTTTTTAGACTATAGGGTATTTTATACTTTGAACTGACCAGTCGAATGAATAAAAAATTGTTATGAAATACATAAAAAGGAATATAGCAAGCTACATATAGGATTAAATATACCACAAAGACAACAAAATAAATTCTATTCAAGAAATACCAAATGTGTAAAATTTTCAATATAACCTAACAGCACAAGAGGGAAGGAGATGAGATCATGCATATAAGCACATAACTGCATTAGGAGTCAGACTAAAAATGTCAGCATCATCAGCAACTCAAATAGTAATAAACAAAACCCATTCCTCACATCAGACAAGCATGAGCAATATATAGCGCAATTCTTCAATGAAAAGATGTTTTAGGTCCTAAAAATTGAGGCTTATTATGCCAGGATAAAAAAGATCAGATATTAAATGAATCCAAGGTCACATAAGAACGCTTATTTCTAGAAATAGTTAGATTTTTGAGTAACTTACTGTCATGTCAGGAAGGGGCTTGAATGCAAGGGCCAGAACCCGAGACCCTTGACGTGTATATTTCTTGTAAGTATCAACATAAGACCGTGGTAGATTGGTGATTCTATCCTGAATAGTTTCTGGCGCCCCCTGGAAACAAAAGATTACAGGAAATGAGAAAGAGAAACCATGGAATCATAGTATAAAGTAATAAGTACACAGATGAGGAGATCAAATAATGATCATTGCTCATGAGATAAAAATATCAGAATGTTCCAAGGCCCAGAGCATTTGCAAGTTCCGTTCATTTTGTGACTGGTTTGAATTGTGAAATGCAAAACATAGACCCACATTACTCCCAGTATCCCAACCTAGGCCTCCTGTGGTGGCCCTTTCCGAAATTGAAACAATAGGAAACCAATAAATCCTATGAGCACCTAAATAAAGCTATTCTTTTCAAATTTCCTCATCGTGCTTGCAAGTGCAATAAGCTGTTCAAATGTGCCACCTTCTGTACTTAAATGACCAATGAGATAATTTAGTAATTCCATCAAGCCAGAAAAGCAACCAATTAGGAGATAATGTGCCAAAACAGTCATTCTATTCCATTTGGAGATTCATTTCATTTGCAAATCATCATATACTAGAATTCATTAGCTATTGCATCGTTTGGTACTTGAAATATCAGCATCTCAATTAAATTGAATTCAAATGAAGATTGTATAGGAACACTCAATGAATTGAATTAAACATTCCATTTTCTGCCCCTAAAGTGCCACATACACGCTGACGAATTATGAAAAGAGAACATGAGAAAAAGCTAAGAAGAGATTAGGTTGTTGCTTCAATTAATGGAGGGCATTGAAGACCGAAAATAAAATAATCTAATGAGGAATTTCATTATAAATTCTATTAATTCTTATAAGACATGCTATAAGCAAATTGAATTTCATCAAGTTGAATCTATAGGACTTTTAATGAATTATTATTGTTTGCTAGTGTGACAACTATAGAGTTACAAATAAATCTCATAATATTTCTGTGATATTCAGTAATCATAATAAATTAATTGAAAATGTATCAATGCATGCCAGAATCTTCTATAACAAAATAACATAAGTAATTTTATGTACATAGTATAAATGCTTCAGCAAATGTAAACTGGTAACCAGCATACCTTCACGAAAGCAAAAAATTCCTCTTGTATGCGGACAACAACAGCCATTCGTTTTAAATGGGAAGCAAAGTGATGTCTCTGAACAATCTGCACAGAATTACCTCCTCCCCTGTCATACATAAGAAATGTCATGAAATAGCTGCAAGGAACTCATCCAGTAATGTAGAAAACAAATTACGAAGGTGAAAAAAAAAAAAAAAAATGAAATAGCTGCAAGGGAACTCATCCAGTATGTAGAAAACAATTACGAAGTGAAAAAAAAAAAAAAAAAAAAGAGAGGGTACAACAGGACAAAATGGAGCTCAACATCTGACTTTTATATTGGATTTAAGATAGTGAACATACAAGATGTAGCCAAAGTTAACAATTTGAAGTCAGATGGAAATTGAGGTAAAAAAAAAAAAAAAAAAGAGAGACCAACAGACAAATTGGAGCTCAACATCTAGACTTATATGTGGATTTAGATATGAACATACAAGATGTAGCAAAGTTAACAATTTGAAGTCAGATGGGAAACTTGAAAATATAAAAATGCAGTTACCAATTTGGCAATGTGGCTTAAGAAAAAAGTTGAAAAACCAAACTAGAATTGCAAAAGTTAAGACTATAACCTCTGCAACCTCCACAAGGCCCTAAAATACTTGTCAAAAACAATAACTGAACAGTTTTCGAGAAACGATGCATATTACGATCCATAAAATACAATATATTCTGCACCATTTATGATATCAACTGTAGCTCTCATTTGCAAATATCAAGCATTTAAGCCTACTTTTGAGATGAAATAATCAGAGGATTATTCAACATTGTCTAGGCTGTGTGTTTAAATCTCTATGCTGTGTTCCAAAAGGATTCTCATAGATGAGGATGTTTTTCATAGAATTTAAGTAGGATGGATGAGATGGTGGAGCGCTATAGGTGTACTACTATGTGATAGGAAGATATCTAACAAGGTGAAAGGTAAGTTCTATAGGACGGTGGTGAGACCAATAATGCTATGTGGGAGTACCTGCTGCGCACTTAAAATGCAACATGTTCATAAGATGAATGTTGCAGAGATGCAAATGCTGAAATGGATGTGTGCTCACACAAGCTTGGACAAGATTAGAAATGATCACATTAGACAAAGGCGCAAGTATCTGAAATTGAAGATAAAATGAGAGGACGTCTGAAACAGTATGGTCATGTATTACGTAGACCCCCTGCATGCCTCAGTTTGCAAATGTGACACTTTAGTAGTAGTGGTCGCTAAAAATGGAAGAGGTCAACCTAGAATTGCTTGGAGGGAAGTTTTCACTAAGGATCTATGGTCTTTGAATATTAGCGAGGATAAAATTATGAAGCGAATAAAATGGAGGCAAAACATTCATGTAGCAGACCCTAATTAGTTGTTGTTGCCTATTTTATCAATTTTTTTTTACAAAAAGTAATTCCAAATTTTTTCTGACTCACACCAACTAGTTTGAGAATAAGGCTTGGTTGATGTTGTTGTTTCAAAAATTCCATAAACCAAAATTCGCTTGCTTACACATGCAGACCTGGCCAATTTTCCAAAACCCACGCCTAAGTTTCAGTTCTAGCCAATTCTGATGAGAACCTGCCAGAAAAATTCCCGACCAGTACCAGCTGGAATTTCTGGTTTAAAATCAAAAACATTAATTTCTTAAAAATCATCAATGAATTCTTTAGGAATTATAAACTTTTCAATCAGGCAAATAAACAAATTGATAATGAGAATAAATTACAAATAAGATTTCATTTTAAAAAAAATTAATAATACTATTTTTAAATTCATTATTTTTAAATGGGAGATTCAAAATTTCTTTTTGCTAAAGGGAAAAAATTAAATTAAATAATTGGACTTGCATTTACTTCATCACTTAATAAATTAGTATCAAATTAAAAAAAAAAAATTCACGCCAAGGTTCCTTTTGAAATTGCTAAAACCAGAACCAGAAGGTTCCCAACCAGATACATCCTAGTACTTCTCATAGAACCAGTTCTGATTCTAATTCCTGTCGGTTCAGAACTGAAACCTTGGCCAGGTTTACAAACATGAATTTTCTCAACTTTTGTTAAGGGTCCATAGGTACGTACTGTTTCTAATATATTACTTATGAACTCCAAAGGCATAATGTTTCATTAATGCTTCAGGCAGTTTCTAGATTCTTTCAATTTTTTGCCTTAACTAGTTTCTATTATATTTTTTCACATTTTCTCCATTTATCTATTCTTTTATACTAGTATCTTCTCTAAATTTGGTAAATACTCAAAAAAAGAAGAAAAGGAAAGAAATAAATTAATTTGCTACCCATTAAAAAATCCACATATAGTACATACCAAAACCACAATTCCATAAGTAAAGGAAAAAAATGTGGAAATATATATATATCTTATAGACGTGCATATGGCCTACCGTCCAATTCAAAAAGAAATGACCAACCATCCTCATAAATAATCACCTAAATGTAACTTGCAGACAAATCATTCTAACAGGAATGGGACAACCAAACTTTCCACTAGTAAAATAAACATATCCCAACCAAATGACTGGAATTATTGGCTTCACTTCATCCATAATAACTAAAAGTTACCAGTGAATTACAGCATAGTCATGGAACTTCAATTAGTATCAACAATCACCTAAGTTTATCTTCAATAAGCTGACTATTACTGAGTCAAAATTTGTATTGTCCAACTTCTAGATAAAAAAGTCTTATAGCCCTTATTTTACAGAATTAAGTTAGAATTAGTTTTCTATAATGTCAAAATCTAATTGAGATTCTATCCAAATCTAGCAATAGTGACCTTACTGATATAAAAAGAAAGTTGAGTGATTTTACTTATACAGGCTGAAGTCTAGCAACAATACTTAGATTATTGACAAGTTCGAAGACCGTAGATGAAACAAAGTCAAATGTACTCTTTACAAAGTCCTGCCAAAAATCCTAGAAAATTATACCTCTCAACTAGTTCTTCTATTGTGTCTTTTCAATGTAACTAAAACAGACGACAAGTCCTCTATTTCAGTTTGATGGGAGTTGAAACCAACTCAATGCTTGATGAGGCATGACCTGGTGCAAATATCTCTCTGAGCTAGAATCGTCAGAGTTAAAAGCAAATCTTCCAAAATGTCCATATTCCATAAGAAGAGATTCACTCTAAAATGCTTGCTCATTCTAGTTTGTATTCAATAAAGTCTCTTATCTTCCTCTGGATTCTGATCTATTTATTTCATTGGCCTTTCATTTTCCATCTTTCGCTGATGAACGCTAGGATTTCTTGTGAACAGAATCAGGATGAAAGAAACAGGAAAATGGATTTTCAAGTCTACAGATCAATTTTGAGGAGCGGTTATAACAAATAAACATAACTTACTTTTTTGGCATGGCCTTCTCATCAGCCTTGTAGCTCCAGTCTATTCCTTTAAGTGCAGCTTTCTCAAGAGGATCACCAACCTGAAAACAATAGCAGAATGTTAGCAACGAAAGGCAAATTAATATAAAATTTCTTTTAACCAACCACCTACAAAATGTCATTACCAAAGGAATATGAACACATCAATTGGACTTCACCCCTATGACCTCACTACCTATGCCAAAAAGAGGTCTGCATATGCTGAGTAGAAGATGTGATTAACAGCAATGATTCATGATGTACAAAGGAAAAAGGGATAGCATATATTAACTATATTAAAGCATATTGTACTCTTAACATACTTCTTAATTTTCATCAAGCATTGCTGAAAGTTGAGGATGCATCATAGAACAGCAAACATATTATTAATGAATGATTTTTAACCCAAACCAGGTGTAATGGTTGAAACTGATCCATATAGCTAAGCCCAATTACTTTGGGATTAAGGCTTAGTTGGATTGAGTTGAGTAAGGGTAATCCATCACATGTCCAGTAAAGGACGTTGCATATAAGTGGCATGGACTGCATAGTGATAATATAATGTTCTCTCACTCTCTTTCTCTCTCTCTCTCTCTCACACACACACACGTAGTAATAACTCCTTTCTTTCTTAAAACTATAGATAACAGCATATTAGCTCTCTAAAATCCTAAGAAACAACAATTGAATCTGGTTTTTGGTTTTGATTCAGGTTTCATTTTTATTAGCTTGTGTCAAGTGGACAAGTAGAGAGAAGAATATATATATATATATATATAATTTTGAAGATATTAGGGATTATTTAGGATTCAGATATTTTAAGGTTAGTAATTTATGCATTTTTGTTTAAATGAAGATTTGGTAATGGTGTTGAAGATGATGATATGGCAGCCATGGCTGCTGGTGGCCCTTGAAAATATGAGGTAAGGCTAGTTGTTCAAAGGAAGGGTTGGACCTAGTGAGAGACAATGGAAGACAACGAAAATAAGTTTGACAAAGTAACAGTAGTGATTGTGGGGAGAGGTGATGAATTGGATCTTGGTTGGATACCCAACCCGTTCAACTAGGATCTCAACCTTATCTATTTAAATTAGCCTGAAGACTATCTAAAAAATTCCTAGAAAATGTTGTTCAAACTAGCTGAGGGACTAAATACTGTAACAGACTCAAAATAGATGAGGGACTATATACTTAAATTTTGAAAATAAAAGTCCATAGTGGTATATTCGACTAAAACTAAGGGCTAACTAGTTATTCACTCTACTTAAATTTTACTTCCCTGGATCAGGTTAGCAAGCAGAAACTACTAGGTCCATAAAAACTAAAGTAAGCCTGACAGCTTTAGGGTAATTCACTAATACAGCCACAGTTGTCAAAAGCACAAGGGAAATTACAGCCTAATCATAAGGCAGAACCATGTGAGGCACTTGTGTGCTAAAACCATACATAAGGCAACTATATGATGCTTTGAATATAGCTATATGATGCTTTCAACATAAAACCTCCAAACAGAACAAAACCAAAATTTGGGTGGAGGAGGAAATGACTAAATCTCTTTTAAGCTAACCGCTCCATTTGAAATGACTCTTGGTTAGAATTCACTTCATATGATTTTAAGACAGAATTTTCACGCGTTTGGAATAAATGTTAGAAACGAAAAATTTCATTTGAATTTCACTTCTTGGAGCCATGGAAAACTAAAATAAAAGAAATATCCCCTATTTATAAAAAAACAACTTTTTTTAAATAGGGAGCATCTTGGATTTTCATAAGCATGTTCCCTTCAATGAATTGGGATCCTTACAAAATCTTGCCATTACATGAATTGGCATGCTTTCCATTTCTTTCAAAATGGTCCATATATAACTTTAAAGAATCCTGACAACCATGTACTTCCCAACAACGAAAATTTACTTGCATTTTCTTTTTTTCTTTTTTTTTTTTTTTTTTTTTTTTTCTACTTGCATTTCTTTTTTTCTTTTTTTTTTTTTTTTTTTTTTTTTTTTTTTTTTTTTTTTTTTTTTGGTGTTTCTGAAAAAACCAAACATAATTCTATGAGGTCAATCTCATTGTACCATTATATGCAATAGTCTCTAATTATATCATAAAGCCATTCCAAATGGCAAATGCCCCACCAAATCTAACCAATATAAAGTAAAATATATAAAAAAAATACCCACAAGGTGAATGAGCTTAGATACAACAATCAGTCTGCCCCATTATAACTTAGAGGAATCGGTTTAACTCATGCATATAGTATTTTTGCACTGCAATGCAAAATCCACATATTTCTAAACCCCAATGTCCACAACAAAAAAAAAAAAAAAAAAAAAAAAAAAAAAAAATAAGTGTACTAAAACAACCTTTTGAAATAAAAAAAAAAAAAAAAAAAAAAAAAAAAAAAAAAAAAAGGTGTACTAAAACAACCCTTTTGAATATACTCATCCGAACCCTAAGGGCATAGCCAAACCCTAAGCCTCAAAGCATAGCAATCACCTGAGGATCACACCTCACTTCAAGCTGCAGTAGGTGCAAAGCTTGGGGCCTCTCTACCCTTCCTGCCTTATGTGCACCCTTGACAACTATTTTGAAGGCCCATTTTAGTTCTTCATGACAAAACGCTAGGAAGCAACAGATTGTAACTCAGGCAAGCCTATGGAAGCCTTTTGTCATGTCTATACCCTTCTATGATAATACAATTGTAAATAAAGCAAAAACTTTTTCCTCCTTAAAACAAAACTAAAACCTTTTTATGCTCTAACTATATTCCAAACATACTACGTAAATTGTAACATTCTGACACAACACACCCACAATTAGGGCACGGCTTCCATTAGAGGGAGTTTTGGGAGGGCTCGGGCATCCCCTACAGTAAAGCAAAATTGCAAACAACCAAAATATAGGTATTTTATGAGCAGCATATAATAAAATTATATCAGCATACCAGTTTGTTGTCCACAAACACCAACGCATGACAAGAAGCCAAAATTTCCATAGTTCGGGCAGGCACCTTGGTCATATCAGATTCTAACTCCATATCATCAGTCAACCCAACAACCCCACGGAACTCCTGGAAAGGAGCAAGAAGGAAAGGATTCATATTATGAAATATGTATCAACTAAAATGAAGACCTTAACATTATAACATCTCATGGACATACCATGTCGTCTGACGTGAGAGTTCCCGTTTTATCAAAACAACATATGTCCACCTACGGGAAAAAATGAAGATAATATTTACCATAAGTTGACATAAAGATACAATAATTCCAATGTACAGGTCGCATATATTAATTTACCATGCAGGCCAGAACTTGACTATAAAGCCAAGAAAGAATGATGGGATGAGACCATTGCATAATTTGCATTTAATAATTCCACAAAACCTAACCAATAATATGCAAAACCAAGCACTATCTTATATAATAGGCCATTCGATGAAACAAAGAAAACAGGCACATCTCAAACAGGCAGAGTTCTTGGCAGGCCAACTTACTTTTCCAGCAAATGGAATGCGAAAGGGTTCCGTGCAAAATATTCCTCGCCGAGCCAATGCAATAAGGGATGTATTAACCGCTATTGATAATTCCATGGGCAACTCGGGTGGGATCACAGAAGTTATAATAAGTGAACAACTTAGGAAAAGCTTGTATTTGCTCCTTGTGGGATCTTCTAGTCCCTATAAAAGATGCCACCATTAATAGAAGCAAACTATGTAAAATTCCACAGGTACTTCGAGAAGGAACATTAGTTTACCTTTTTAAGTACATAACCTGCAGCAATAACCGCAAATACGACCAAAAATAGAATAAATAGCCCACTTTCCCAGCTGTTGGCAGTAACCTTCAACAATTATAAGTGAAACAGAAAGTATTCAAGCGATAAATCAGAACACAAAAATAGTTTTCTTCATCAATCACTAAACTGATATGAAACATGAATTACCCTCTCTGTGGAAAATAAAATGGTCCTCATTAGTTTACCCTGACTTGTTTCAAACCCAGTTCGTAAAACAACAGCCAAGCAGCCACCATCAGGTGTTCTTAGAGGGAAGGTCTAAATCCAGGACAAAAATCAAAAGCATAGATTAGAACAACATAACAACTACAAAAGAATGATAAAAAAAATAAGGGATTTAGTAAGTCATATTTACAGAACCAACCTTATCTGGAGTATGCTGCAATATTTTAGTTCCACCAAATAAAACATGGCTTTTATCTCGCTTAGTTGATAACTTCTCTTCAGTTCCTCTACCCACTATAGAAACCTGAGAAAATAATTTGACCACAAAACTTATCATCCATGTACTCTCCTTTCTCAATAAAATTTCTTCAGTTATCATTTATTAAAAAGAAAAATCAACTAAATGATAATGCCAAACTAGTTGAGGTCAAATTTAATGGATTTGGCAAGAATTGGCCATAACCACTGTTAGATAAAAGGTAGGAGAAACCAATTCCAGACAATTTAATTCTCTATTTCCTAGATGGTAGAATCAACCCTTTTTGCTACTTGGGGCCGAAAGTTCTAGGTTCAAGAGAGAATTCCTAGTATTTACAAGGGCATAAGGTAATCAATCATTAAGTAAGGCCCAGCTTCCTCCTGTATCTTTCTGTTTTCTAAAAGCAGTTAATTTATCTGTCATGGTTCAGAGGCTCATACTAGCCTTGTCCTATCTACGTAATGCAGGTGGGAAATGGCCTTCTTAATGAGATCTCTCACTGTACATTATCAATAGAACATAACAAAAGGAAATCCATGATGCAGAGAAAATAGAACCTGGTACGATAGCTCTACCAATCCTTTTAAGTTGATCAATACACAACTCTTTCCCATTGGAAGATTATCGAAGACAATGAAAGAGGTTCAAGCCCACTGTTATAGATCATTTTCTCCATACCACTAGGTTACATGCCATGTTTTCAACTATGAAATCCTTATAAAAAATAATTACGGAAAAACTCTTATAACTTTTGAAATCAAGTTATTCAATCAACAACCAAAAATATAGTGGTCAAAATTCATGAACCAAGACAGATATGTTAATTGGCAAATCAAATTTAATTAAAAGATTTGGGTTTGAGTTAGACAAAGAGGAAGTTGATAATATAAGCATTTTAAATATGAAGCACATTATCCTAGAACAATAGAGAGTAGCAGCCATTACATAGCATATCAACACAATCTTCACGGTGAATCACATGACCATTACACACTGACATGGCTCGTACCATAAATTTTTCTAACCAAATTCACGATAATGCCCACAGAAAATGTTGCATTTTTTGCCATGAAACACATACATGGTTTAAAACCTTACTGCATATTACAGCCCAAACTTTTCAGCATCCTGGAACAAATTCTTGAAACTAAAAGCAACCCAAACTCAATTCAAAATGTCACATCACAACAACTTCAAGATCATTTTAACCGACAGCATATAATATGAAAGAATATAAAGGAGAACAACCTTCCATTGTGGGGTGGACTCGCCTGTGAGAATAGCTTCATTTACAATGGCACTTCCAGCTAATAAAAGCATGTCTGCTGGCACTGTCTTATCTTCTCCATTCTGACCAGAGGAGCGCCCAATGGAGACAACATCTCCAGGCAAAAGATCAGTCCCAGAGAGTTTCACCCACCTAAAATTGTAAAATTCAATGCATTAATTCTACAGATCTACAACTATTAAGCAATGTAAAAGACATTAACTATAACATACTTCCCACAGCGATGGACCATTAGGGTCTGGCTATCTACTCTAACACGCCTTAGCTCACTTAGGGTCTTCAACCTACTTTTTGCCATTGTTGACTCGAACATAAATAGCATGAATAGAGTGAACAAACTGTAATACCAGTATTCATCCAAGCACCAAAGTCCTACACAGAAGACCTATATACAACAATGTAGAAGGGAAAAAATGTCACAACTAATGAATTGTAAAAGTAGAACTCAAGATATTGGAAAACAGCATAATGTAGAGATCAAAAAAACAAAATTGTGTGCAAATGTGTATGTGAGAGAGAGAGAGTGAGAGAGAGAGAGAGAGAGAAGTAGAGAACATTTAAAGATAAAACCTGAAATACGAAAAAGGGCTCCATGCAATGCTCTTTCATTAATTTCTGGAATGTAGGTTGCGGATATTCGAATCTACATGACCGAAGAACAACCAACGCAATGAGTAAAAAAGAATAATCAGTTCATCAATAATGCAAACTCCCTAGATTAAAGTTATAGTTAACAGGAAAACAACAATGATGTTCACATATGCATGAGGAGAAAGTACAACATTGCATCATGGACTACATTTGCATAAAACAAAGACATAACAATTAGCAAGTGGAAGAATTTTACAGAATCACCAGAGTAATAGCTTTCAGTTTCTATATCAATTGTGAATTTATAATTACAAGAGAAGAGAAAGCAAGGGGCAGAACTGGTATAACACAAGGATGTCACAAGATTTAGCAACTCTAGGGGGAAATTTACTCATAGAAAACTAGAGTACCGTAAAGGAACTTTTTCAAGAAACTGAAAAAAAGAATTTTGCGTTCAAATATGGTACTTTTCTAAATGGAAAACTTAGAAATTCTTTGTTTCCACTAGGAAAACACATTGGTTACAATGTTTTTTTCTCTTCTCAGTGTAACTGTTCTGGTTTTCAAATCCCAGGACAACCAATTTATATTCAATTGTTTTCTCTGTTCATTTTTAAATTTGCCATTACTTGCCAATTTATTATTTTATATGTATTTTTTATTTGTTGCGATAGTTACAAAATGCTGAGTAACAATGTCTTGTCCCTACCCTGTCTTATTATCGTTCTTTATTTCTCTTTTTATGGAGAACTTTCAAGGCTTCACCTTTTTTTTTAACCCATGGGTTTCCTACTTTTTCCTTTTCCTTCATTATAAGAATGATTTTTTTCCCAATGATAGGAAAGATTTACTGATATTTAACTGTAGAAGACAGTTATGGACTATGGTATAAACATATTTTACATTTTTCTCAACCGGAAAATGAATTTTGATTCTTTAAAAACAAACGTATTCTCTAAGTTCTCTACGTTTTCAAAGTTTTCAATGTTTCATCAAGCTTTTATAAAACTGGTGGTTAGACAGTTAACTTTAGATTGATGCTTGTTTAGGTTGCTAAGTTTAGTCAATTTGGTTGAAGAGTTATAATATATTGGTCTTTTTATATTATAAGTAATTTATCTTAACTTTGTTTTTCTTGCAAATTATATAACCCCCTCAAGCTTTGCACATATGCTCAATGACCCCTTTGTTACTTTAACAAACATGCCAACAGCAATGTATGATAGAAAAACTTGACACGTTTGGGATCTAAGGAGGTAACTATCTACAGGATGGGTTAATAAGTGTACATAATAAAAAGATTTAGAAAATATAGAGGGGGTCATTTACGGGAACAGTAGCAAAAATTTATTCAGCTTGGCAGGATTATTCTTATGAATGACAAACTAACACAATGAAGCTTATGGTAGCATGCACCAGCAATCCACAAGAAAATTGCCAATTAACAATGACAATTAGAGAACACTTGAGAAAAAGGAACGTATCATATAGAATTTTGCCTGTAGCAAGATTACCACATTTTCTATTATTAAAGGGAAAAATTCAATCAAAGAGTAATAACTTTTTAACTATATAATACAGATGCATGGGGATAAAGAAAGAGGAAAAAAAGCCTTACACATTTCTTCCCCATTTTTCAGTAGCAGATACAACTTTAGCCTCAGAGCCGTGGCCAGTACTTTTAAGATAGTAGCCAAACATTCCCTTGGTAGGGTAAGGAAGCTTGCAAAACGTCTCTTTCTCTTTTGAATAGATGAAACGCTGCTTCCTGAAGTCAAAGTAAATCTCTTCTGTTTCCCCTGGGGATGAACCTTCCAACTATAGACATAAAGGAAAACATCACTAAAAGAACCAAGGAATTGGTAGTAAATTGCAAAAATATCACAATTCACACAGAGAAAAAAATATAAGTGCTTTAATTACTCTTACTCTCTTGTTTCACGTGGCAATGTAGGTGAAATGAACACTTTATTTCATAAGTGTCACTATCCTAAATTATCCCTTCCCACTGTACCATCTATAATCACATATTCATTTGTCTTAGCCTTCTATTCCAGTCAATTTTCACCCTAGATACCATTGGCATAACCCACGAAGGCACCTACCCAAGAACCGCAGAATGAAGATGATGATTAGCAATTTAGCATAGTAGAGTGATAATTTGCAAAAGTAAACATGAACAACAAACTTTTCTAACATGCTTTGACCTTATCAAAACTCCCTACTTAAAACTTCTCATCTATGCACATAAATGAAGAGGAAAAGACCGGGGGTGATGCAGGAGCATTCTAGCTAAATTAGAAGTTTTAGTTTTCCTTTTCTAATTAGGATTCCTATTTATAGTATATATTAATTAATTAGCAGTATTCAAGTTTCCTTAACTAATTTGGAATACTTTTCAGTATAGACTTAGGATTTTTCCTAACTAATATAAATAGGACAGTAGCAATCAGTTTGATGTATCATGCTTTTCCCTATCAATTCAGAATTTTAATTTTAAGGGTTTCTATGAAACCAATTATGTTATTTTGTTCCAACCAAAATCACCATACTCTATCCTAATTGTTGAGAATTAATTGCCCTAGACTTTTCCCCTGCATGGGGCCTACTCAAATTATTTCTTAGAATAAAAATTGTATAGCAGCATCCATAAATTCACCCAAAATGACTTTGCATTTTCGGACCACAATATTGTAGAGAAAAATCAAGAGACAGAGAGCGTGAAGAAGTTGATTCAGACAAATATGTGAATATTTCAAGATGCTTGATTTGTGTGCCTTACATGTAAATTAACTTTTTCTTGGTTCATTTAGATGTTGGCCTTCTGGATTTTTGAAGAAACAATGAAAGGCTCAACCAAGTACAGAAGCTTGACAAGAGACAGGAGTTATGAATTGGCTCATGCTTTAAGTGAGTTGGAGCATTCAGTCAGGAAAGAAATGGAAGGGCTTGCAGGAATTGTATTATTGTGCAATTTTTTGGACAGGCTTCCAGCATCCATGATATCCTTATTATGGGTGCTTCTTTCCGTAATTCCTCCTTTTATAAATGCTCTCAACAACTCATGCATATAAAAGGTTCAGAGGTTCTATGTTAGGCAAACATAAGAACCTATGCACTACAGTTTTAGCAATACCAAAGAAAGAATCAGGTGCTGCAAAATTGGAGGCTATAGAGGTTCTCTAATTTATTCATTCTTGCTATATCACACAAAGGAGGAGGACAAATATTGAGGATATTTAGCGATAGAACCAAAGCTTGACATTAACATGAAAAATGCCATAGGTTTGTAATAAAAAATATATATATAAGTTTGTTATTTTCATGTGCAATAACAAGTAATCTGGTGTGCAACAAAAAGTTAGCTGATGGGGAGAGATAAAACTTGAATATATCTATCTATATATATAGTCACACACACACACACACTAGCATTCATTCCCAATGAAACAAGTTAGTAATTAAAAATCAAAGAAGAGATATTTTGGCTCATTATCAACATAAGTGAGATACTCTCAATCTATTCCCAACAGTGCTAATAGGCATTAAAGGTGTATTAATGGGGATTCTAGCAACTTAAAATTATCAAATTGACATATCAACCTGCTACCTGGTTGTTTAAAGAATTTTGTTCAACTTCTGAATTCATTTCACATTTGACAAGAAACAAAATAAGCATTGGCTTGAAGGTAATCCATTATAAGATCAAATACTGCATCCAACCTCACATCTAAAACTCCAACTGCAAAATTTGATTTCAAGAATTGAATTGAACGCTAGGAAGCCTACCCGCTTATGAAAATGCAGTGGCACTATTTCTTTAGCACCAGAAAACTTTGCCGGAGTTATTTTACAAGCATCTGCAAGGTGAATATCATTAACCTGCAAAAAGAACAAAAAACACAAACTACAGCATCAAGTAGTATATAATAGAAAGAGTAAAGATGCTTGAGTCCAGATAATACAATCGCAAACGTATAATATAAACAGTCATATACCTTACCATACTGAACGAAGCATTTGAAATCGACAGACCATGCAGTAAAAAGCCATGTCAGAATATGAAGAGCTACAAGGCCACCAAGAACGATTGCTGCGTCTCCAATGTCAATGCTGGGGACAATAGCAGTAAGCCAGACAACGTATAGAATAGAGAACGGCCATACGTCCAAACGCCATGCCCAATGTTTCTTCCTCAACAAATCCACTCGCTCCACCACTTTCCCTCCAACGTTGAATCTGGACATCTTACTTTTTCAATCCCTGAACACCACTGCGAAATTCCAGATCAAGACGCTCAGATAAAACTTAAAAATTCAAAAGGAGCCACATCAAAACATGTACGTATCAAGTGCAGAAAAATTAAGAGGAAAATACTTCTGATGCAAGAGATTAGACTGAGGAATAGCTACCTGATTTCAGAGAAAAAGATCAGAAACCCCTAGATCGATTTGAGTATCTTAGGGCGGAGAACAGACGACTTTATTCTCGACTCTGTTCTCTAATCCAAGACTGCCGTTAGGGAAAATCGAGTATAACGAGACGACGCTGTCTAGAAGTGGTGAATTGAGCAGACGCGAGCGGGTCGGGTAGGATAATTTCAAGTTGGGGATCACTTTGCTTTTTCCCCTTTTCTCGTGCGAAGATGCACTTTGCTGTTTGCTCACAAAGAAAAAGAAAAAGAAAAATGAAGGAAAATAACGAGATATTGTTAATTTTCTTTCCATGATAATTTTTCATCTTTGTTAAAAAAAAATAACTAAAAATTTTAAAAGAAAGAAAATATTATTACATAAAATTAACTATCATGTACTCATTTATTTTTGAATGATAAAATGTAAATCTAGTTACAAATTTTTATCTATCGTTGAATATAGTGGCAATCAAAAAAGTGAAATGTCGCGATAATGTTTTTAGTTCTTTGGAGGATCTCTAAATGCCTTGAAACACATTTAAGGATATATTAACTTGAGTAACAGGGTGCGAAATGGAGGTGGATTATTTTGAGTTGGATAATCTTGTGGTGTCTCAAGATGTTGTAGTTATTAGCCGATTAGGTTCTCTCCTCTTAGTGCAAGTATCTAAGAATCTCCAAGCAACATTGGCAAAAAGAAATGGAGTAATTCGGTAGCGATCAAATTGCTAGGAAATTAGATTAGCAAAGAGCTTCACTGTAAAGGCATTAGACTATGATTAGTAGCTACATATTAGTGCAACCATGGACATTGAAGTTTTGAAGCTAATGATACTCAAATTGACTCAACTATGGTGGGGATTTGTCTTCCAGGACTCCCCTCTATCTATGTCATAAAATCTTTCTGAAACATGTTTGTCATTAAAGATGACGGATTCGAGTAGTTACATGAGACTCATTGATGATAAAGCACCAGAAAACATCTCAAACCTCAATCTCTCAACTTCGAAAAGACGACATACTACTCAATTGTTTTAAATGTCATCGATGCTTTCTTAGAAGTGGGATATCTTACTAAAATAAGAATAAAAGAGTCACCACCCTCTTTAAGAAATACTAATGTGCCATAGCACGGCGAATCGGATCTCTTATAGTAGGAACCCAATTCACATACTAGAGACTGGGTAAGGAAGTCAAATACGATCTTGGGAAGGTGTTAACCACCAAAGCTTACTCCACCTATAGGCCGACTTCCACTATTTGCCTGTACATTCATTTAAAAGTGTTTGAATTGAATTGACTTAATTGGGTTGTAAAAACCAATTTAACTGCAATTTTATTAAACTTATGGCTTTTATAAAGTATTACTATAATCTAATCACAATATAAAACCGAAAATATCCATAGAAAGAGAGAGAAGAATAGAATTACATCCTTTTCGGTCCTACTTAATTCTAGCCAATGAAAATCCCAATTTCAAACCCGAGTCATTTACCCTTAAGTCTAAATGATCCATATTATACAAACCATCAATCAACGAATCAATCACAAATATAATATGAGTTCATCAATGAACTCTCTTTAACCAATCACAAATATACCAACGGAATTCGTGTGCGGGAGAGATAAGGTTGGAAGGGATGCATTTCCCAACTCTCGTTCCCTACATGTTATAAACTGTTCATATGCTGTGACATTCATGCATCACGTGATATTTTCGTTTCAGCCATGCATTAATAAGAGCTAATTTTCGGTATGGATGACATTTGATCTTGATTTTTGAGAGTTGGACCTCTAATTTCTTTTGAATACAATAATGGAATCGTTTATAGTGAAATTGATACCCAAAAGAAAAGGGAGTTATAAGGAGGTTGCGATTCCTTGAATTTACAAATTTCTCGCGTTATTGAAAGTAAGCGTGAGATTGCAAAAATTTTGCGTAATTAATTCAAAATAAGATTCCTGCTTGGCGACCATCTGTTCCAAGGCAAAAAGTTAAGACACAAAAAACAAAAATAATAATAAGAAATATTCCCGCCTTGGAAATTTCTTTCATTCCAAGGCAAAAAAATTAGGCGACTCGAGAGAAAATACCGACGTAAAAATCCAAAAAGGAACAGCGTCGGAAACAGACAATGCCCCGAAAATGTTTGAGTACAAAGTTAAATATTACTATGTTATTTCATTTGCCGAATTTTAGGTCCAGTTCGTCAAAAAAACGAGAATCTTATTTCCATACTGGTATTAAGCACAGTTAGATTTTGCGTTTCTCATTCCTATGTGCCTATTATTCTTCATGCATACAGGCAGAACCCCCTTTAACTCAGGTCCTTTTATCTATCAGCTAGAATTGACCCGTCCCAGCCGTCCCAGGAAATCACTTCGAGAGTTTGGCACCAACATCCTGGTCAACGTCTGGTCAGAGTGTCCCCAATCCCCAAGCGTGCTCCGGTTAGTTCCGTGGTTAGTTCAAGTTTGTCTAGTTCGGTTTCTGGTTCAGACCTGGTTGTAGTTGAGATGGTTGATAGTGGTGTGAATGAGACCGGTTTTTCTTTGGCCTAGTTAAAGGCTATATCTGATATAATAGCCACAGTTTTTGCTCAAGAGAGGGCACAGAATCAGGTTCCTCCTTCTTCAAGTAATCAACCGTCCTTCTTCAAGTAATCAACCGTCTTCCCCTATAGTTGTGGAAAGGGAGGCTCTAGAACCCACTTTGGGTAACCAAGCATCAATTGGTAATGTTGGTCCAGTTGAGAATGATCTGATAAAGCAGTTAGCAGAATTAAAGGATAAGGTGGAGAAGATGTCTGTTTTGAAAGAAAAAGATCCAGTCACTAATTTTCATATGGCCGATTATGTCTTGAAGCCCACAAGTTCTAATTCTTCCAAGACCTTTAAACATACCTTATTCGAAGGAAATAATGACCCAAGGTCTCATTTGTCTGAGTTCATTCGTGTTGCCCAGATGAACCGGTATGATGAGTTTTAGCGGGCATTTCCTACAGACGTTTGCACAAGAGCGTATAGGGAATATGGTATGAAGGTTTGACATGCTGGCAGATACAGAGAGATGGGTCAAGCTTCAGACTGCTTTTCTCAAAAGCATTTTTTAAAACAGATGATAGTTGATGAGTTTGGTCCTTCCGCACGATTTGGAAGAGTTTTAAAGCAAAGGGAAGGATGAAAGCTTCTCCATTACTACAGAAGATGGAGGACAAAGTTATTTATGGTCCAGGACAAGGCCAAAGGATCAAGAGTTTTGAGGCCAAAGGATCAAGAGTTGATCCAGATTTTTAGTCGAAGCTTATTACCTTACTTTAAGGAGAGGATGTTAGCTCAACCTCTCACCGACTTTTCTCTGGTCCAAAGGGCTGGATTAAATATTGAAGAGTTGTACAACGAAGAGAAAAAGAAAAGCCGGGGGTTTGGTAATTACCGGTCTTCCTACGGTAATCAGAATAGAAATGCTGGTAATGCTACTACAAACTAGTCGGCGAGTAGCAATACAGTTGGAGCTGTTAATGAGAAAATGAGAAAGGAATTCACTGATTTAGGTAGACCTTTAAGCACAGTTATGAGATCTTGCATCAGTGTGTTGTCAAAAGTTACCAATTGATCCGTCTAGGCCTAATCGGGGGTAGGTTTGTTGATCAAGGCTGTGAGTATCTATCAATGCAAAGGTCATTCTACCGATGATTGCTTCAAGCTTAGACATGATATAACAAAATTCGATAGATAGTGGCGAAGGATCACTAAGCCTTCTAAGCGTAGTAAAGCCGGAGCACACGGAATAATTCCTTTGCCGCAGTTACCAGTATAAACTATCCATCTCACAAGTCTCAAACAGGTCGGCATCAGTTAATGCAATTTGAAAGTGGTTTGCCTCGAAGAGTTGGTATTGGCAGAGGTTGGAAGTTGCGAAGAGAGGATGGTGGCTATGTTTAAACATTTTTGGGATGACTGCAGCAGTGAAGAAGAAGTGGAAAGGAACCAGTGAAAGTCGAAGATAGAAAAGAGTATCACAGTCAAGATTGGGGAGATACCAGACAATGAGATTGAACCATGTTCAGCTAGCAATCAGAACAGTTGGTGATCAGCGAACCAGTGGTATTACAGTAGTGAATGATGATGTGAATGAAGTTTGGTGTCCAGAGTTTGACCCGGGAGTGGTCGTGTATACAATTCTTGACCCACAATTCCCTGGTCAGAGGAAAAGGAATTGTCCATTGATGGAGATAGAAAGAAAATCAGAGAAGGGTGAAGAGCAACTCAAAGAGAAGAAAAAGCGAAGTTGAAGCGGATAAAGCACAAACAGAAGGTTACTGAAATTTAGGTGAAAGTAGCCATGAACAGGGTACCGGGGAAGGGGGGCGGGGTTGGACAGCAAATCAGTACTAAGCCAATTACAAGAGGACTAAAGGCTGGACATTCTCGTTATGGGATTTATTGGTAGCTTCGAAAGAACACAGAGAAAAGCTCTGTAGAGAAGCTCTGTTGGAGGCTATGATGTTCGTCAGAGTTCCTACAAGAATTCAGAGTGTGGATATGATTAACGTGCTGCAGCGCAGGATAGGTGAGGTAACTTTCTTCGATTCCGACCTTCCTCCCGAAGGTAGGAACCATTTTAAATCTCTGTACATCCAAGTTGGTGTTAATGGAAGAGAGACCCGTAATGTGATGGTTGATAATGGGTCAGCATTATGCGTTTGTCCACTAAAAATGTTATCCAAGTTCAAGAATGAAGAGTCGGAGCTCGAGCCATCTACCATGGTTGTAAAAGCTTATGATAACACCATGCGTAGTGCTAAGGGAATATTCAGAGCAAAGATTTCAAAAAGATTTCAAAACCAGAAGTAGTAGAGGAGTGGGTGAAGTGATAGTTTTGGACATCTTGGGCTAATTATGCTTGCTGTTGGGAAGGTTGTGGCTCATCCTTTTGGGTGTGATTCCATCCACATTGCACAGAAAGGTCAGGATACCTTGGGGCACTTGATACTGATGTTGTAACGATTAATGCTCAGGAAGAACTGAATGTTGCTACTGTGGCAGGTTTACAGGCAGCTGTGCCCTTATCTGGATTTCAAGTGGCTATAATTGAAAATGTTATAATCACTGAAGAGAAAAGTGCAGTTAGTAGAATGAGCCCTTTCTCCCGAAAGATGATTAAGAAAATGCAGTGGAAGTACGGTAAGGGGTTAGGTAGAGATTTGCAAGGCAGGTTTGAACCAGTGCCATCTTCATGTGGTTAGAAGCACGGATACGGTTTGGGGTACTCAAAGAACAGGAAGAAAGAGAAGTGTGAAGTTCAGTCTCCGAATAAAGAGTCGGGATTGAACAAGATTTTCTTTACCCCAGAGGCTTCCGGAGGGTTTCAGAGCAGAGGAAAGACATATCCAGGCTTGGAGATTTTTATGACAGATTTTGAGGAACAGATCATCAAGTCTCCAAGCTTTCTCCAGAGCAGATCATCAAGTCTCCAGAGCCTTCCTTTGAGCAATTAGTGGATGGTACATAATTTATGATTGGCATGGTTCAAGCAGGAAGTGGCTTAAAATGGTCCCAGAAGATGCCAGAGTTTGAAGACTTTCTCGGGATTGGGGACGAAGCTTCAAAGATGATTCAAGAGCAGAGGTCCAATGCGAGGATCCTTCAATCATTGCTAGCAGCAGAAGATGCAGAGGAAGCCGAGAGGAAGATGCTGGAGATGTCAAAGCGCACAGAGATGAAAGAAAAAGCTGCCCCAAAGACTGAGGATGCTCTTGGTGCCGATGAAGTAGTACAAACCATTAAAGATAGCTATGATGAGTGTATTGAACAAGCTCTTAATCCTGTTTTTTGTTTTTATGAATGTTGCCTTGAGAACGATCTGGATGGATTTCCTTTACTATTTCAATCAATGGAAGTGAATTTTGATTACTTGTTTTCTTGTTTTCCTGATTGTCGTGTTCATGGCATGCATTGATTATACCACACGGCATATTTGACATAAATGCCATTGCCATCATTTCGCATTTAACCTAAGCATCGCCGAAAGATCCCAAAATAATCGAAAATCGGCATCGACTTTAAGCTTGAGCTCATTAAAGGATTCTCCAATAATGTTCTAAAAGAGAAATTCAAAGTCTTTGCTTGGAGTTATGCTGATATGCCGGGATCGGACAGGTCAATAGCAGAGCTATTTCATCCCTACCGATCCGAATATCAAGTCCAGTAAAGCAGAAAAGAAGACGGGTCAGACCAGGAGTGGCAAGACAAGTTCAAGGCTGCAGCGTTCAGAAGCAGCTAAGATGTAGGTTTCTTGGAGGTAGCTGCATTACCCTGAGTGGTTAAGCAAACATTAGTTCCCTGTCTTAAGAAGGATGGGAGACTAAAGAGTCTGTGTCGACTACAGAGATTTAAACAAAAGGCCTCGGCCTAAAGATGAGTTTCCACTCTCCACATATAGATGTTCTGATCGACAGCTGCTGCAGGGAATGGGATGTTTATTCCATTCATGGACGGATTCTCTTGGCGTTACAAAACCAAAATCCTGATGGCTTAAATGACAAGCACAATGACCGCCTTCACTACCGATTTTGGGACCTTCTGTTATTAGGGTGTGCCGTTTGGGTTTGAAGGAATGCCAGAAGCAACATATCAAGAGAATGATTACACCTTGTTTCATGATATTCTTGATCCATAAGGATTGGAGGTTATGTAGATGATATGGTGATCATGACAAAAACACAGGAAGAACATGCAGCGATGCTGGAGAAGTTCTTCACACGGGTCAAACAGTATAATTTGAGGCTTAATCCCAAGAAGTGTGTATTCGGAGTGATGAAGGGAAAATTGTTGGGTTTCGTGGTAGGACCTAACGGGATTGAGGTTGACTTAGACAAAATAAAAGCCATTCAGGATATGGAACCGCCGAAAATGGAACGTCAGGTGAGAAGCTTCCTGGGTAAAATTCAGTACATCAGTAGATTTATTTCGAGGTTATCCATCACCTGTGCTCCAATTTTCAAGTTACTTTGCTAGGAAGAACCTTAGGAAGAACCAGCCGGTCAGATGGAACGAGGATTGTCAGAAGGCCTTTAACCATATAAAGGAGTACTTGATGAATCCACTAGTGTTAAGTTTTCCTAGACCGGGAGATCCTTTGATTCTGTACTTGTCTGTAGAGGGTGCAGGAGTTGGAGCTATGTTGGCACAGCCAGATGCTGCTGGAGTAGAAAAGACTATCTATTATATCAGTAAGAAATTATTGCCTATTGAGGAGAAGTATAATTTGATAGAGAAGACAAGTATGGCAGTGGTGTGGTCGATCAAGAAGTTGAGGACTTATTTTGATTCTTTCAGGATCACCTTTGTTTCTAAAATTGATCCTATGAAGTATCTTCAGAAAACACCTACTCTAGAAGGACGATTGTCCAAATGAATTCAGAGTCTAGTGTAGGATGCGGAGTTTGTCACAAAGAAGACAGTCAAAGGTCGGGTTTTTGCAGGAATTCCTAGCTGGAATCCCATCGCAGATGATGAACCATGGTAAACTAGAATTTCCAGACGAACATTTGACGAACATTTGTTATGTGTTGAAAAAGGGGTCTGGAAACTATACTTTGACGGATCAGCCAATAGGAATGGAGCTGGAGCTGGTATTTTGATAGAAGTGCCCAATGGCGAGGTGACAACAATGTGCAAAAGGTTGTTGTTCCCAGTCACCAAGAATATGGCAGAATACGAAGCATGTATTATGGGAATCGAGTCTCTTCTTGCAACAAGCAGTAAGGAGGTTGAGGTGATAGGAGACTCATTGTTGGTTATTGAACATGCCAGTGAAAGACGGAAAGTTGAGGAATATAGGCTGAAGCCTTATATTGAATACTTGTTAAAGAAAGCAGCAGCAGCACTCTTTGACAAGATCACTTTTACTCACATAAGTAGAAACTCATAAACAGAATCTCAAATGCTTTTGCAGCAAACCCTAGCCTCAGCGTGGCAGGATTTGAGTAAGATCCCCAAGAAGCCATTTATCATTACCGCAGCAAATATTGCCATGCTTATGAAGAACATTTTGTGAATCAGTTATCAGAGGAAGAACCTTACGTTTACGGATATTTGCAGCTACATGGAAAGATGAACCTTTTTCTTATGATGCAAAACCAAAAGAAGACCGATTCGCGTCTAGGAAAATGGCTTTGAAAGTATCGTCCTAGCCGATGGTGAACTGGTTATAGGAAGGCCTGGGAATGGAATGCTGTCTAAGATGTATAGGCAAGAAGGAAGGACGAAAGATAATGAAGAAGACCATGATGGAGTCTGTTGCGTAAACTCATGTTGAGTGGCATGAGTTTGGCCAGAAAGATTATGAGGCAAGGCTACTTTTGGGTGCAGCATGGAAGGTGGACTGTGTCAGCCTATGTTCGTCATTGCAAAGCCTGTCAGTACCACTATAATAAAAAATCATTTGCCCTGCTGTGAGCCTCCATCCAACAAACTCCTTCTTGCGCCTTTTTCAAGCCTGGCGGGTATAGATGTTATTGGCAAGATCACGCCGGCAGCATCAATGCGTCATCAGTATATTCTAGTCGCTGTGGACTACTTTTCTTAGATGGATTTGAAGCTCAGTCCTACCAAAACTTTGACTGCCAAACAAGGGTGGCTAGATTTATTTGAGGCAGAACAATTTTCTGTCGCTATGGTGTTCCTCATCACATAGTTATAGACAATGGTTCTCACTTCCAAGCAGACGTCAGTAAGCAGACGTCGGCCAGTTGTTATATAGATATAAGGTTGAGCATCACCATTCCTCTCCTTATCGGCCTCAAGCTAATGGTGTAGTGGAAGCCGCCAATAATGAGATCAAGAGAATTCTGTCCAAAATGTGCGAGAGTGAGGTTCAAAAGCAGCTAGATGCAGGTTTCTTGGAGGTAGTGCATTACCCTGAGTGGTTAGCAAACATAGTCCCTGTGCTTAAGAAGGATGGAAGACTGAGAGCCTGTGTAGACTACAGGGATTTAAACAAAGCATCGCCCAAAGATGACTTCCCACTTCCACATATAGATTTTCTGATCGGTGGTACTGTAGGAATGGGATGTTATTCCATTAAAAAAAATGAATAAAAAATGAAATGAATGAAAAAATAATGATAAAAAAAAAAGAAGGAGAAGGATTGCTCGTTTCTATAATAAGCGGGTACATCCTAGGGCTTTGAAAAATGGAGATTTAGTATTGATCAAATTGTTAGACCACGAAGCCCAGAGTCATCCTGGAAGGAAATTCAGACCCAACTGGCATGGACTGTTCAGAATTCAAAAGCTGTTGGGCAAGGGTGCCGCTGAATTAGTCACTATGGAAGGGAAGCCTTTTAATCGGATCGTTAACCAAGACCAGATGAAAAGGTTCTATGTCTGAGATGATGATTTCAATCATCGGCATCGTTAATCCAAGACCAGATGAAAAGGTTCTATTGCTGAGCATTATGATTTCGCATCATCAAAAAAAAAAATGAGATTAACGTTATGGTGCTAGTGTTTAAATGCGAAATCTATGCCATGCATTTGCTGACATACTTGCGACTGGTTGCTTCAATGCCATCAACCTAAACTAGAAGGAGAATAGGCGAATGAGTAGTTATGAGTAGTTAGAATGAACGACTATTGTATTAAAATAGTTTTTTTTACTTCTGTATGATGTTGAAAGAAGTAAGATCAATAAAGAGCTTGATTTTTTTTCAGATTTTTCTTCCCTTTTGTTTCTGAGGTATGATTGTTGATTACAAGACCTTCCTCTCTACTTATTTGATCAGAATTTGCTCATTTGTTTTGAAGATTTTTGGCTGTTGGTCGCGCTTGACTGTTAGATTCTTTTGGACGGAGGAGGTCAAATGCTATTTTCTCGGTGATTTCCTTGGAAGGATCGATAAAGAAAAACCATGAATAAAATCCCTAGCACTTAAATAGGTTCATGCTTACATGAGGGAGTTGCATATTTTATCTCTTTTTGAATATTGCGGGTGATAAAATGGTCACCCCATCTTTTTTTTCAAAAATGTAAGTGTCCGTCCGTAGTTAAATAATCCACTTTAATGTGCTTTCATTTCTTAATCCAAGGACAGGAGGCCCAAATGCTAATCCAGCAAATAATTTCGAAAGAAAAAATTTGTTATTGTCTTTTGCTGTCTCTAAGTGTAGAAAACATGAATCAATAAGAAGAGAACCAATGGAATTATTCATTGCAAAGAGAAAGAAAAAATGATACAATGATTGGGAGTTCATAGCCCTCAGAAACACAGGAAATTGAATAAAAAGAAAAGCAGCATTCATCACAATGGTTTGATCATCAAACACCGAGTCATCACAGTGGTTGGATCATCAAACACCGACCCCTCCAAGACCCAGTTTCATCACTTGGAATAAAACCAATCAGCATACTCGGGTGTCACGGTGTCATGCATCACCCCCCTGACCCATGTACCAGGTATTCCAATTCCGCCAACGATCAACTAGGTTGGTCAACAGACTCTGCATCATGGGACTGCTTTCGAAGTAATGGACTTTGGGAACATGCTGAATGCCACCATACTGGCGATTGACTCTGTCTGGAAAGTAGGCCATGAAGCGATCAAGACTAGCATATAGCACATAATTGAGGTTCATGCTCCTGGCAGTGACCAGTCCAATCCTCTACCAAGGGCAAGTCCACCGAATCACGAGGTATCTCCAAAATCAAAGTGTCCTCAGGAGCGGGTGCGAAAATTGGCAGGACCATAAGTTGGGATTGAACGAGCTGGGACTGGAGGAATCATGCTCAGTTTCATTTTCTCAGTTTATCTAAAGCCCAGGCTTGCAGTAAACATCGGGCAACCCCGATGGTGAACGTTGAAGTTTGGTTGACCCTGAAGGGCAATGTTGTTGCTCGTCTAACTTTAATATTCCATCTACTCTGCCACACAGGAGCAAAATCATCAAAATTACCAAATACCCTCAAGGAAGTTTTCTTCAACACGCCATCAGGAAGAGTATACCTGAAAATTTAGGACTTAGGAAAAACTTTTAACAAAATTTTTGCTAAAATTTTTGCAATGAAATAAAAAAATAAATAATAAAATAATAGATAAAAAATAAAAATAAGATTTTCAAGGTTTGCTTTAAAGATAATATTTTTTTTGGTCTCGGGACGGAATTCCAGACTTGCGGGCAAAAAATAAAATCTTTTAAAAAATAAAATCTTTTACCCTGATGCAAAATTTCAAATTTCAAAGTTTATGATTATTAATGCATGGGGGCATGTGACGCTCCAACATTTAACAAAGGTGAGATCTGTTTGTACACAGAAATTGCTCTTTTCTCTTGAAAATATTTTTAGGCCAACCGGTGATGGTTTCTCGAAGCCGTTTCGTCCCACTAAGCAGTGATGGTGTATTGCGAAGCTGTTTGGATCCTTTTCTCGATTAGTGATGATGCAGTCAATCCTTAATCGAGTCAGTGATGGTTTTTCGAAGCTGACTCTAATCCTGATTAGTGATGGTGTATTACGAAGCTGATCAGGACAATCTCAATACCATTTACCAAATTAGTTGATTGATGCATTTTACATTAGTGATGATGCATTACGAAACTGATTGGTCAATAGAACCTTGGACATGACCAGATGACTGCTGACGCTTAGAACGCTGATGTAGTCCAACTGGAGCATTCAAATCAACTCAACCAAACCCTCTAAAGCCTATCAGACTAAGCTGAGGAGGTGAACAACAAAGCCGATCAGACTGAGCTTTGGACATAACCAAAATCCTTCGAGCCGAGCCGATCAGACCGAGCTTCGGAGGTGATTTCAAAGCCAATTAGACCGAGCTTTGGAGATAATTACAGATCCAACTAGAGCATTCAAGTCAACTCAACGAAACCCTCTAAAGCCGATCAGATTGAGCTAGGAGGTGAACAACAAAGCCGATCGGGCTGAGCTTTGGACCTAACCAAAATCCTTTGAGCCGATCAGACCGAGCTTCGGAGGTGATTTCAAAGCCAATTAGACCGAGCTTTAGCGATGATTACAGATCCAAGTAGAGCATTCAAGTCAACTCAACCAAACCCTCTAAAGCCGATCAGACTCAGCTGAGGAGGTGAACAACAAAGCCGATCAGACTGAGCTTTGGACATAACCAAAATCCTTCGAGCCAATCAGATCGAGCTTCGGAGGTGACTTCAAAGCCAATTAGACCGAGCTTTGGAGATGATTACCTTTGGAGATGATTACAGATCCGGACTGGAGCCAACAAAGCCGATCAGACTGAGCTTTGGACGTGACCAGATGATCAAGACTGAGCTTTGGACGTGACCAGATGATCAAGACAACTACTTCATTCAACCCAAGATTGAAGGCGCGTCAGTGAGCCACTTTAACATTAATTGTTTACAAAATTAATGATAAAGTGGGGGGGCAAACTGTTGACGCGTGTCTTTATGCCCCCGCCTGATCCGATGAGGATACGAGGATGCAGAATGAATGGTTAAATGCTATATAGAAGTCTTTTAATCCAAGGATTTAAATTAAACTGATTTTAAGTTTCTGGTTGGGTCAGAGTTGCGTCACGCAGTTAAACAGGCGCGTGACAGCACTGTCAGCTGCGTCACGCAGCTCTAATCCAAATGTAATTCGGATTTGTATGACGTCACCAAAAATGACGACATAACGGTTTTTTATTCTGTCTGAGCGACACGTGGCTATGGTCTAGAAAGGAAGCTGCATCACACATCTACCAGATCCGTCACCTAGCCGTAAGCTGCATGACGCAGCTATCCTCTTCTGCCCTACATCGATAAATTGATCTTTTTCTCTCATTTGAAGGGGCTTTTCGAAAAACTCACTTTCGGCTATATTTTTCTGCAGAGACTCTTCTGAGTTCATTTGAAGAAAAATTGCCATTAGATATCAATTTAAGTAAAAACAAAA